TTGACAACTAATAAATTAATGCGTATTGGGGATTATTTGGTAAAACATAATGGTAATGCTTCTAGTAGATTCCGTGCTGTTTTTGAAGTGACGCAAGGTTCTAATCTAGATCCATTATTGTTGTTTCTGTTATTTGTCAATGATCTTGCCTTTCTTTTTGCTGACGATTTTAAAATCTATAAACAAACTCAAACAGCACGCGATATGGTTTATTAAAGATATATAATTGCTTTAATATATGAATGGATATCAGTAAATGTTTTTTTATGACTATTACCCGACAAATCAACCAATTATATTTGACTATCAATTTAATAGTGTGTAATTAAAAAAAAATTCTTTCGAATTATGGATTTATTTCATTAATCCGTTCAAAATTAGATTAGCTTCAATTATATGACTTTGAGAATATCAAACTATTTTATAGAAAATATACATTCTTAAGATGTATTTACTTAACAATTATTGCTCTCGGCGCTTGAGTTTAGTTTCAGGGGAAATTCACAGCGGGTATATCCTCTAATGACACCACATCAAAATATAGAAACCATTGTATAACTATCAATCGGCGCGGCAGGCGTTAGACAAATATTGTTTTTAGCGGGACTCCGGATAATCTGAAACAATTGTTGCACTTGGTATTATTGTAGTAGTAGTGTTCATAGAAATGACTATTTTAAATATTGTATGAGGTGGTTTTTGAGAAACATGGGAAGAAAAAAGGATTGTTATTTTAAAAGAAAGAATCTAAAAATTTAATTTTAAATAGAGCAAAAATCAATACTTTTAAAAGTAAAACACGTAGGTACGATTAAAGTAAATACTGCTTTTTCTCTAAAAGTAATAAATGTATAAATTATTGTGTTCTTGCATTTAATACAAAATCCAAACTGTTTAGTTGCGTGGCAGCACCAATAAAAAATAATTAAAGGTAAAATTCCACTTTTGTCGGAGGTCTAAAATAATAAACAATTGATTTTCTAAACTTAATATTGGTTTTATTTTACTCTACAACCTTATACTACTCCTTTAGTGTTTTTTTTTATTATGACTAGTATTTTCGCGGAGCCCTCACAGAGGCTTTGCGGGAGCCTAGGGCTCCGCGGAGCACATTTTGAGAACCGCTGCACTAGAGATTTTAAAACTGATTGGCAGCACTCATTTTTCCCCAGAATTATTGCAGCTGGTCAATGTTTTCTGCAGTTTCAAGAAACATTACAAACAGCTGATCGGTAGGGCCTTTGTACGCAGACGTGCATATTAAAATTGCCGCTGCAAACTCTATAAAGTGACTCTAAGGCTGACACGATCGCAGGCTCAAAATCTCCCCGCGAATTCAGAAACGTTTCCTGATTATAGACGTCAAAACAGTAGCCCCTACTGGACGAGACGCCTCTGCCGTCCGTCGTTATCACTACGCTGCGGCAGCGACAACATCGCGCTGAGCGGCGGCGAATTTCGTTTCGGCGGCGGTGGCGCTCTCGAGATCGCGATACGTGTCTACGTGGAAGCGGCGGAGCCAAATCAACCGGAGTCTAGCAATTCAGTCGTCAGAGGTGGTGCACAGCGACAGAAGATACCCCTTCAAGATAGCAGTGCACGAGGCAGCAGCTGCGAAGGGGCACGAGGCCTCCTCCGTGCTCATGGTGTCCACTTTACAAAGGAATGTTGTGTTATACAGTATGTATTTTTCATTTTTTTGCCACTTTTCGTATGTTGGATGGATTAGTTTCGTACCGTATGGTGGAAAGATGTAAGGATGCTACGTTGTTCTGACCCATCTGCAGTCCAAAATTATAGTAATAATTTAACTTTATTACATAAATAACAATAAATTGTTCAAATTAGTACAATTTTAATTGTAAAATAAAAGACATACGCCGATAAAGGTATAAAATCTTGTTTCGATAGAAAAATATAGTTAATTAAAAGGCTAATTATTTCTTCTTGTGTCAAGTCTTCCAAATTTGTGTCCTCTGAAGGTAAAATTGAATGTATAAATTCCAGAATCATCTTTTCAATAATATATCTATCATTCTGGATAGGCACATGAAATGGGATTTACACACCAAACAGCTGGTTAAAAAATTAAAGGGGTTTCTAACGAAATTCGTATATTTGAAAGATTTTATAAATATTCAGTGTCTACGAACTCTTTATGTATCTTTAATACGGTCATTGGGGAGGCGTATACAATTTTTTAAACGATGTACACGTGGTGCAAAAGTGGCTCCCAAGAATAATTCTTCAAATTAATATTACCCCAGCAATTTGTTGTATGCCGATTTGAGGTAATTCTTTCTAAAAAATGTACTTTTTAAAAATCAATACAAAATTTATTTAAACATCAATTAACTTCTCTAAAATATCTGCCGATTTGATTCTATATTATTCCTTCGTAGTGAAAAATCTATCTGCCAGAGATCTAATCATTATTTAGCATCTAGAATATATGCATTATTCCCACAAGATTTAATAGATATAGCTTTATATAACTCATTTTGAAAACAAATTGAAAGTAGATCCAACAAAACAAAATAGCCGGACATTTCTTTAACAGTATCATAAATTAGATGATTTTTCTATTAAGCTTTAATTTTTTATAATCGGTGATTATTAATTTTAGTCTAAGAGTAGTAGGTCGGGTGTCTAACGAGGCTAAGAACAGCACTACCAAGGCCACTCCGCAGTGTTTTTTTTTCACTCGTAATATTGTCCCCACTTTATATAAAATATAATATTTATACAAAATTATCTTTGCTTGCACTCTATAGTTGAGGCATACTTTTTTTTTAAATTTTGTTTTTGATCTCGTCTACGTAATTGCCAGTATAGGGCAGTGTAATAGATAAAATAAATAATAATCATAGCAATTTAACTATTAAAAGCTTGAAAAACGATCATTGGTGCAACTACTAGACTTATTAAACTATTATGATGATACCGACCAATTTGGAATATTACTTGTATCTTACTAGAATTTTTATGAAAAATACACCACTATTTAAATATAATTATTGAGAGTCATTAAATGATGAATTTTTTTTATCTTATATAATCTGTCTATTCAGACTCTTATTCAATGTTTTGAAGATAACAGGTAAGTTCTTGTTCATTGAAGATCATTTATCTTCTTTAGATAATTTACTGAGTTAATTTCTTCCATTCTCCATCTCTTCCTGGATATGTTACCTTAATTTCTACCTGTAGATTTTTATTGCAACCTTCTTTGATATTAAATTATTAGTATCTATCTAATAAAGACAAAATATCATCAAGAGCACGTACCACAACCCTGGTCCAAAGGTTTACTAATATGTATCAAGGGCTACAATATTGGTTTTGCTTTGGAACTGAATGGAATTGCTACAAATATGGGTAGGTAACATACCAACAATATTTTAATATTTTGTTTTAAAGATGTAGCAATCTACAAAACGTAAAATATCTTTCAGGATAATTAATTCAGTATGGACATGAAAAAATATGTTTATTTTCTCCCTACAACGATTTTAACTTTAACCAATCAAATAATAAAGATAAATCTATTACTTAGGTCTTTTTTGATAACTGTACAATGTAGGACATGTGATAAAGAAAATAATTTAAAATCTAAATTACCTAATTATATTCCTTAGTACTATAAAAACATTTTTTTACTACTTTTTTATGTTTATTTATTTAGAGCCTTTATAATGAATGTTATGTTTTTGATATCAACTAGCAGTTTATTAAATAATTTAATTCCTGCTTACTCAGGACTATGTTCATAGAAACCAACAGATACATGTACTTAACATAACTACCCTTACGAGTGAGTGGGGTAGTTGTGACAATTATTGTTTCTGAAAAATTGTGATTAATTCTTTTTTGTATATAGAATTCTCTTGTAAGGTATAGTGAGTATATTGTATAACTTGAGTTTCAAAAATTAGTATAATTGCTCCTTTTTTGTCTTTGTAACAGCAGATTAATTTTCCCAGAGCCTAATGATGTAGGTGAATATACAATAATTTCATATACACCCATAGAAGTTGGTTAATTGTAAAGGTCTGTTTTAATTGGAGTAGAGCATAAAAACTGCTATTAACCTATTTACAGATGTAATTAATCTTTGATTACCAGCTCATATCACTATTAGCAGTGCTCCTAGAAATTTCACGTAGACATAATTACAATGATTGGAGAAAAATTGAATATCAATTGTTTTATTAGAGTTTAATATTAAAGAATTATTATTGCACCATCTACAACAATCTGAAGCTTCTGCTGCAGCTCATCTGGAGACATTGCATGAGATACTAAAGTTATATTGTCGGCATAGAGTATAGAATAGTCAGCAGACACATGTTGAGGAAGATCATTCATAAAAATAGTAGTAATCTCAAAACCGAGCCTTGTAGTATACTTCGAGTTCTGATTTTCAATTGATCACTTTTACACCATACATATCTGATGTACATTTAAATAAGAACAAACCCATTTTAAAATTATGTCCCTGAAACCTAATGCATGTAATTTATTTTGAACAATGGATATGTGGGTTGTGTCAAAAGCTTTGGACAAGTCAAAGAACAGTGCACCTACGAATCCTCACTAAGCTGTCGATGTATTTAGTTGAAGACTTTGAATATATACACTATATATTCTAAGAATTGAAGATGACCTGTCTGGAAGAAAACCATGTTGATATTTTTTAAAAAAGATAACAAGAGTTGACATACACATTTCTCAAAAACTTAACATTTGTAATAGGTCTGTCCGATGACACGTGACATCCTTTTTTATAACAAGCCCAATTTTAAGACCATTTCGAAAAACAGTAGTGTTGGGATCATGAATTTTAATTGCATTACCAGCAGCAACTGAAGAGATACCATATTTATCATCAACCACTATCTCGCTTATTTTTTTTTTACTGGCCTCCATGTATATTTCAATAGAACGACCAATCAGAATGTGAACCTAGCTTAATAAAACTAAATTATTTGTCATATACTGTCATTATTATTATCGAAATTTTTAATGTTGTGACCAAGTTAACTTTTTTCGCCCCTTCCCCCAAAACCTTCAATGTTCAAATACCAGCCATTCGATGGTACCACAGTATGGCCATTTTTGTTATACGAAAACAGAACGTAAATCAACCCCATTAAGATATTAAAAAAGAATAAAAAAATTGAACGAAAATTCCGAGAAAAAAAAGTGGAAAACATCGCATGAATGCTGACAAAAAGTTCTACATGTTTCTAAAACTTAAATGAATAGGGAAGCCTGGAATGACAGAATTTTTCAGGTAAATGTTCGATTTTTTTAATATAATTTTAAACAAAAAAAAAAAAAATAAAAACGTAGATCAACAGTTCTTATCTGTCATTTGTCAAATCGTTTATTATGAAAAATGTTGAAAAATGTTTTCTATTAATTTATGTAAGCAGAATCAAGAAGTAAGGATTGTTGGTATAATTTTAGTATAATTTGCGTTTAGAGTTAAAATATAAATGATAATTATGTGAACACCATTGAAATATTACTGATTTTTATCGGAATCATTTTTCTATGACGCACATTGGAAATGACTGGGTATATGCAGTAGTATTTTTATCAAATATTTGATATTTAATAGTTATTTAACAATTTTCGGGAAATAATTAAGGGCACATGAATTGTTCTTGAAATTTTGTATAACTTTTTCGATATTACTACATAAAAAATCACTTTTTATCTGGATATACTCCGATAAATGTTTTGCATTTTTTCCAAAATATCAATTCGTTATTTATTAACAAAAATATTGCTTGTAGCATATCAATTTACCAAATTAATCTATTTACAAAATTTTAGCTTTCGATATCAAATAATATTTGATTTGCTGCTGCTATTTCTAAGCTCTTGACAAAAACGAATAGATAAATATTATACTTCAATTGATTAAAAATTGGAGAAATCAGTTACATGACGCGGTTGTGGAACAATAGTCTAATTTTTTTGAGAGAAAAGTTTGTATTGATATTGAATTCCCTTGGCTAATTATGCTTTTGTATTTATTTGATTGATATCAATCAGAATACAAATTATATAAGCTAATGTAAAATAGTATAGTTTGAATAAAATAGACGTGCAGTAAAAGTGAGGATATAACGTACTTTGAAAAATGAGTTCTTGGGTTTTTAGGTGTTTGTAGATTAAATGAAACTCGTGTGTGTGGTAATTTTTTTTCTCTTGTCATTAAAACATTGTTTTTTTTTTATATATATGTGAGTTTACATCCGAAATTCTACAAGAATTTTTTTATATAGTTTATATTTGCTATTGTATTATTATGTATTTTAGCTTACCTTTGGTAAGAAATTGGGGTGTGTCATTAAAATCATTAAAATATATTTTTTTTTGTCTCCTATAGTCCTTCGTCATGTCCTTTTTATATTTTTATTTATTGATGGTATACTGTTAATCCGTTTTAGTGTATGGGAACTGAAACCCTCTTTTTTCCTTTTTCGGACCCTCCTAGAGATCCGGATTTCAATAAAGGTTTTGTTTCTTCCTGTGGGATTTTTCGGATATGAGACTTCTCCAATGACTGTATTTTCTTTAATAATGTTATACACTGTCCGCTTAGAAGCGTTATAGGTCTCACATTTAGTGGCTATTTCATCCACAGAAAGTGAAACAAAGTCTTTTCGAAGATTATTAATTACGTCAAGTACAATACTTTCTGATAGTACTAAAAAAAATTGTCTTTTCAGTATTCAATATTCAAAATTTTGATTTAGATCTTCCTCTATAATATTCTTTATTTTCTCTGGATCTTTTCCAAAATAGATGAAGGATGCGTCATCGGCATATAGTTGCAGATACCCAGTTAATGGTAACTGAGCTATGGAGTTATATAAATCAGGAATAACGTTGGTCCAAGAATTGACTTTTGGAGTACACCATATTGGACATCAGCCAGTTTATTTGAGATATTTCCATTACTCACAAACTGTATGCTTCCATTAAAATAATCTCTAAAAAGAGACAATGCATTTCTTGCAATTCCATGGTCTTCCAAAATAGATAACAGTAGTGAATGGTTAACAGTATTAAACGCAGTCTTTAAATCAAGTGAAACAATGATACATGCATTGTCTTAACATGATGTCTGATGTTGTAATCATATCTGTAACTGCGTCCTCCATAATGTGGTAAACTATTTTAATTCTTACGCCTGTTGAAATAAAAGGGCTATTTAGTATAGCTACGTGTCGTTTCAGAAAATAAGAGGGTGTGTCATCGGAATCATGGCGTAATTTTTCATTTAAACTTAGACTTCTCCTAGTGATGGTCACTTTTTAGTATGTTAGAATCTATTCTGTAATAATTTGATTAAAATTAACCCTAGGATATAAAAATAACCGTGTATTCTGTATTATTTAGTTAAAATTACATGTTAAATTATTTTTAATGCTTAATTTGAATGCACTTTTAGATAACTATATCATTTACATTTAGAATATAATATAATAATAGAAAATTAAACCTTATACTAAATTATTCATTGGATATTTAACTTTATCGGTCTGAAATGTCTTTTTACTTTTTTTTCAGAGACATTATTAGCAAGAAGCATAGTTGGGAATTTAGGGCCCGAGCAAGCGAGGTGTATGACTTCGCAGCGACGTGAGCCTACCTGTTATAGGTAAAAAAATACACTTTTTATAGGATATTTTTTGAATAAAAGGTACTAATTTTATTAGAAGATTTAAAACTTAAAGATCGCCTGATAAACAACCGGAACAATACATGAAATAACATATTTTGCTATGACATCGTTCCCAAAACAAATATCTGATCAAAAATTTAAGTTTAACAACGTTTTTCTTTAGTATCGTAGAAAAAGAAAAAGTAATTGGTTATTAAACATTTGAAGTGATAATTTAAATGTATTTATAACAATTTTTTTCTTGTACATCGCTATTAAGGTCTATATCGTTGGATTTAGATAAAACGATGATCTGTTATGGTTTTAATTGTTTGTAAATCATTTTAGGACTACAAAATTTTCATCTAATAGGCATCGAAAACTTCAACCATTTAGAGAAACGTGACTGGCTAGTGATATATATTCCGAAAAATTGATCAAACACCGAAGATCATCCAAACCAACAGCCAATATCATTCTTTTGTCTAAAATCCTACCGCTACCGCGCCACATCCACCACAATGAGTGTTAACGTAAATAGGGGCGTCAGCGATGTCTTCTATCGCTACAAAATGCCACGGATCCAGGCCAAAGTGGAAGGTTAGCATCATTTTCTGTTTCTTTCTATAGGAAGCGTTTCTAACCTAATTTTCTTTACAGGTAAGGGTAACGGGATAAAAACCGTTATTGTAAATATGGCTGAGGTCGCTAAAGCCCTCGGCAGACCACCAACGTACCCTACCAAATATTTTGGCTGCGAATTGGGCGCCCAGACCCAGTTCGATTTTAAAAATGAACGTTTTATTGTCAATGGTTCACATGAAGCTTCTAAACTACAAGATCTTCTAGATGGTTTCATTCGCAAGTAAGTACCAACTGAGTTTTAAATGGTTTATTGGAATAACATGATAAGCCACAACGTTATTTTTTTTAAGGACACGTCTTCAAAAGTTAAAATCTACTACAACTTGGTAAAATGCAGTAACTTGATTTTTCGGTTAGTTATGGTATTTTTTTGGAGAATTTCCATTTGGTTTAAGCTTTTGTGACCTTTTTTTTTATTGTCGAGACGTAAAAATGCTTATCACATTTCTACAATAAGCCATTTAAATCATAACATCCATTATTCAGTCTTCATGTCCCCCATTTAGAAAAAGTAGATGTAAAAATGAGGAATTTTACAAAAAAAAAAATTAAGTAAACTGTTGAATAGGAGTAGATCTGATATTTGGCTGTCGTTTATGTATTGATCATTTTGTTTTGTTTATTTATCCAGCAACATTTTTATGAGCTAACCAAAATGAAAGAAACTTTTCATTGAGACACGCGAGAAACTACATCTCTATTCTTTTGTACATTTTTACGATAAAGTCAGTAACACATTTTGTATAGGTACACCTGTTTTTTCTATGTTAACCAGTTATTTTTATACAGTCCACTTTATTTCATTCACTTGTTACATCCACATGTAGCGATATCAGGTTAAGAACCCTTTTTGACTTTATTTCTGGAGCCATAACTAGCTTCTCCCTTTCTCTGTCGTCATGGTGGATGTAACTTCCTTGAAAATATAAAGGTATCGCGCCAAAACTGATAATGTTTCTATGAAACAATGAACATAATAATAGAAAATGTAGAAATATTTAAATTAATTTAGGATATAAATTAACAAACCCATTTGGAAATCTATATGACCATTATGGGTACATTAATGGCTGTTTAATGTGTAATATTATTTTATCGTTTCAGATTTGTCTTATGCCCAGAATGCGACAATCCCGAAACTGACCTCATCGTTTCCCTAAAACGCAATACCATCTCGCAGGGATGCAAGGCCTGCGGCTACCACGGCGTGCTCGAGTCCAACCACAAATTGATGACTTTCATCTTGAAAAATCCGCCAAATTCGAATCCGGCCAGCCAGGGTTCGTCCTTGACCGAAGGCAAGAGATCCAAGCGAAGCAAACGAAACGGGGATCCTAACGGTGATCAGGACGATCAGGATTCTACTCTTGATACATCTGGTGTTGATAATTCTATTGATAACACTGTAAGTATTCTTTTAATAGTTTGTGGTATAACTATTAGGAAGCAGATTATATTACTGTAAAAGATTTTCTCGCCATAGAGAGAACGATTATTACTAGTGACGCCTTAAATTCTGAAAATAGGGCGCCAGTTTTTTTTTTAATGTGGTTTCTTACACAATCTTTCGAAATGAAAAATAAATTTGATGCATAATTGAATTGAATATTTTGCATTAATGTAAGTTCTATTACTTTATAAAATTGATATTTCTTTTAGGGCGGCAGCGACGATGATCAAACAGAATGGGCAGTTGATGTGTCAGAAGAAGCTGTCAGAGCCAGAATGCAGGATCTCACCGACGGCGCCAAGAACATGACCATCAGCGACGATCTGGAGAAATCCGAGAAGCAGCGCATGGACATTCTCTATAACTTTGTCAAAATCAAGAGAGATGCCGGTCTATTGGAAAACGTTCAGACCCAAAAAGAATTGTTGGGCGAAGCCGAACGTCTTGAAATTAAAACTAAAGTGAGTAAACGTATTTTACTTTGTTGTTAACATTATCTAAAGAAATTTATTTTTAAACGTTTCTAGATTTCTTTTGTAGTCTTAAGTATTGTTAAAATAATATTTTTTGTATCTAGTCTGTAATTTTAGTTTTTCAATTTAAATTGATAACCTCTGAAGTCTGTTATTAAAATAATTTCGGGTGAGTTATACTAAACAAAACATACAAAATTATTAAATTAAGCGTCGAGAAAATGTCAAGTTGGAGTAGAAAATGTCCAAACTAGTTAGGAAAATTTAATACAATTTTTATGGCGTTTTCTCTTATTAACTTCTCTTTAGAAATCCTTTAAGATTTGTACTTGGTAACGAGTTTGATCGCTAATATTGGTTAATTTGTTTGTAGAAGGATTTTCTACAAGTCTTATTTCACAGAGGCATTAAAATGAGTCATTTTATCTACAGGCTTCATGTGTTATTTGGTCAGTAAATCGAGCAAAAGATATAAATGATCAGTCATCGATAACCATTTGTTAATTTCTGTGAATTTTGATTTAAAATAGTCTAGTTTCATTTAATTTTGAAAAGATTTAAACAATTTTTCCAGAGTTGCACAGCAACAATTACATAGTTGCTAATTCTGTATAGGCAATATGAATCTGCTTCTATTTACTCCGGTTTTACTTGATCAGCGATAATCCTATTACAATTTTCCATTTTCCTAATTTTTAGAGACCTAATGGTATGCATCTTTTGGAAAAATGTATATTTTTTTTCAGTCTCCTCTCGTCCTAGCCGAACTGCTCTTTGATCAAAACATACTGGCTCAGGTGAAGAAGTACCGCACCCTGTTTTTGCGTTTCACTTTGAACGATAAGAAAGCGCAGCGATACTTGATGGGCGGATTGGAGCAGATCATCGCCATGCAGAGAGACAAGCTGATGAACAAGGTTCCGGGACTACTCAAAGTCTTCTACGACATGGACATTCTCTCTGAAGATTGCATCGTTGAGTGGGCAGACAAGGTAAGGCGATTTCTCCAATCGTTTTTTAAGTAAAATGTAATCGGACGCGATCGATTTCAGGTGTCCAAGAAATATGTGGCTAAAGAGGTGAGCCAGGAAATTCACGACAAAGCAGCTCCGTTTATAAAATGGTTGAAGGAAGCAGAATCTGAAGATTCTGACAACGACGACGAAAGCGAAGATGACGTTGAGATTGAGTACAATGACAGGGCACAAATCCAATTGAAAGTCACCCCTCAACCGAAACCCAAACCAACCGTCGATGATGATGATGGGCAGGATGACGTAGACATCGATGCCATTTAAAAATATTTTCTATTACAGGGTGTCATAGATTGAGTTTACATCGGGGCAATGGACGTACAACCGAATCAATTTCGCCAAGTTTTAGATTAGAATTTTTTATTTGCAGTCTTCATTGCTGTACCTTTGTCTTTTCCAGATTTACGGTCTCTATCGAAAATGTCTTTGGGTGAAAAAATTTATAAGAGCAAGGTTTTAATTTACGTTTGTCTTTATGTTGCACAGTCTCAAAATAATAATTCATATACGAAATTTCCTAAAAACGCTTAGAATCGAGTAAATCAAATTCTGATCTAAAACCATGGGTCTTTGGGATTGTAATATTAAGCAAACATGCTGTTACCATCTTTTTACGAAGGTTTTACTGTAGGTTTAGTTAAATGTTTGCTAAAATGTGGGAAATCTTTATTGGTATTATTATTGCCAGTTGGGGCAATTAATGGGATGGCAGTGCTTTAATAATAATAAAAAAAACTTAATAGTAAATATTTGTTAAGTTAAAATGTAATTTTATCGTACCTATAGATCCATTCTCGATTATTCTAATTGATTCGGTAAAAGTTCGGTTAACTCCTTTGTAAACTTGGTCAACAATTATTGAATGTCTATCTTTTTAATTAGGCCTTGATTTAAATATGTTAATGTGGTTGATCAGGATCCCTATTCTGTAATTTTGAGTTTGGAAACATTATCTGTTAGCATTATATAATTTTTATTTACTATTTACCATACTGCAATATGTATTATATTAAATAGCATTTTCTCATATTTGAACTCTTTTTTAATATTTGAATGAAGGAAGACAGTCGAAAACGACAAGAGTAAGGCAATTAAATTTGTCATTTTCATTGGCTGTCAATACATATTCATAGATCTATCTATTAAATATACTGTTTTAATGTCAATAAAAACAAAACAAAAATATTGCTTAATTAATTACCACTTCCTGAATCCCATCCTTTGAATTTATTTAAGAATTTTTGTTTTACTGATTGAAACATTGGGCTCAGCCCTGAGTATAAGGATTTATTTCCAAAAAAATGTAGATTTAAGTTGATGGTTTGCCCCTCATCATAGTCTAGAAAATAGCTAATATTTTCACCTATCAAATAAGATACAAATGTGTCAAATACTAGTACTTTTAGAGCGTGAATTATAATAAAATTTGACAAATAGTAAAATATAATTGGTGTTAAAAACAAGTTTTAGATAGAATGGCAAGTTGATTCCCCTGTACATAAAAATAAACTTTCGGTCTTTTCACAAGTTTACAACTTAACTCTTTGCATTTATGAAAAATGTTTTACCCTACGTGTCAATACCAAAGTTTTGATCATTTTTTTAATAAATTTTCACATTTTTTATAATAAGTAGACGTCGCAGAATGAAAAAATAATGTATACAGTAAGTCATTTAAAAACATCGACATTAAGGCTGTTCCACTGCAACAGTACCCTATATGTTTCAAAGTATTTTATAAACGCAATAAAAAAGACTAGCTATTTATGAAGACAGTTGCGAAATGCCTTATTTTATGTAATGAAAGAATATTTGCGAGACCAGCGGAGCGACACAAAAGTAGGGGTAACTCGGTAAATTCAAAATTTTGTTATTTACAGTTTCGATTGTTACCAACATAGCGAGAGGCGGGCAGTCAGAAGTCACCCTGGAAGTATAAAGTAAGGGTAGGGGGTTAAATTGTTTCGCAAAATAAGTGATAAGGTACAGCTCTGAAAAATTATGTTTCAACACTTTTTAAAAATGTTTTCTCAAATTTTGAAGTTTATAACTATTAGTTTGGCTCCAAATTTATAGCAAGTAAGAATTCAACTTTCATACTATCTAACTCCAACACCTGTGATTCCTAGACAGAAGTTTGATATGCTAGTACGGGCCAAATATCGTTCTCAAATACCTCTCTACAGCGTCGGTGTTATGAAAAATGCATTTATGCATACTAAACCCATATCTTCATCTGCGTGAAATAAGTTTTCAATGTACGTTAAGAGCCGTAAATCTGATGCTGTAGAGGTATTTGAAGATTTGACGAGTCTTAACGACTTTTTATTAAAAAAACCTTCGCTAGACTGATGATTCCAAAAGAGGAGATCACCAGACTACAATTTTACTAAATAAAAATAGTTTACTAAATTTCATAAGCTCTAAAAATAGTTTTATTACTGCCAAATTATTAATACCACCAGAAATCAATAGCCAGACTGGTGATTGGTTGAAAATAATTAAATTAATTAAAATATCTCTACAAACTCATTACGAAAATAAGTTCCTGAACGTGATCACTGGCTCCTGGACTTGATCAATTTTATTGAACGTTGTTGCAACCGGCTATCTGTGCGATATATCTCAAATCATTCCTTTCACTATATGATTCTTCTTTTCTCCTAACAAGTTTTGTTTTCAGATGATGTTTGATACAAGTAATAATGAAATGCGATTAATGCAAACATACGAATTTAATATACATAGAGATAGACAACTTTTTACAATAATGATGTTATAATATGAAATGTTTTGTTAACGGCCCACCCTAATGAAGGGAAAAAAACTAGAATGATTTTAAGCATGAGTATTGCCTTGTCCAGTCACTGGTAAATGTATAGTTTTCTGTGCAAAAGATCAGGAGAAATTAAATTCGAGACAGTCAAGCTATAAGGTATATCAAAAAGATGATTTAAGGAAACTACCAATCAGTGAATAATTTGAAATATATAAAATTCATAATTTTTGATCGTACTGTATGCATTGTTAAAATAAAATAAGAAAATAACATTTTTCTCACGTTTACATAATTAAAAAAATAAAAAGTAGTTTATATAAATCAATTTGTAGTGGAGTGTAGTTAAGGTACAAATGAACTACTATCGTACATCCTAAAGAAACCTGTAGTAAGTTATAATTTATGTTCCTTATTAAGAAACAATGCTTTTTAGGGGTTTACTTTAACACAAAATTTTGGCTATATGGTATAGCTACTTGTAGCCACAATAGTATTTTTGTTAAAGTAGACCCCTAAAGAGCCTATAAAAGTCATTTGGTAGTTTTACTTGAAAAGTTTTCAGAGTTTTGAAAATGGGTAATTTTATATATTTCTATGTGCTCTTTCTGAATTTCAACTTTGCCACCTCGTATCTTTGCCATTCGCGCCGAAATACTGCAAAAATGGGGTCAAAAAGCAGTTTTTTTTCACTGTATTAGTAAGTTAATAACTTTTTCTGTTCCTTTTCGACAACATTTATTAAAATAGATAAAAATTTAGGGATATTTCCTTCATTTTGCATTAAAAAAATCTTAACAGTAATCTCTTTATGTTAGTAAAAATGCTAATAAATGGGATATACTATTAATGTATTTTAATGCCTTAGCAATGTATTCACTTAATAACCAACATTGTTAAATTGACATTTTTGTTACAATTTTGAATAAAATAATCCCTAACAGTACCAATTTGATGTTATGTACTTCTAGAATAGTTTATACTCAAAATTACCTATTAATAATCTAACAGAAAAGATAATCATAGAAATCGGACAATTTATCGCAGGACGTACATAAGATATAGTGATACAATGAAGAGTATAATGATTTTCTTATCAGTCCCATTAATAGATCTTGAACAAATTTATATGGGACCACCCCCGAGGTATTCCCTTTCTAACAAAAAAGAATCAGAAATCGGACGTGGTTAATTTTCAGGATTATAGTGTCCATGTGGTTGATCTAGCTATATCTGACCATTTCTCACAAAAACTTAATACTTACAATAAATGCTCGTAGAGCACAAAAAATCCTCAAAAAGAGGCATATTTTCAAACAAAGCAACTCGATATTTTGTCGAAGAACTAAAATTTGAAACTTATGACTTATTCCATTCTAAAATAAAAACATATATAGGCTTTAATTTTTCGAGTAAAATAATTCAAAAAGAAAAGGGCATGAACTTGGATTACATCTGGTATAAAAACCTCTTGTCAAAACAGACGTTTCTTATATAGAAATATGCTAAATGGAACTGTCTCAAATGAATATTATAAACAATATGGTATTGTCCTAAAAACTGTTGTAAGGGTAGTAAAAAGATGTGTCTGGAAGAGTTCATCCAAAAATATGACAAGTATTAAAAGTAATTTTAAAAAACCGACTTCAAAATCGTGCAGATGTCATCACATCTTAACAAAATTTATATGAAACCACCCCTGAGGTTACCCCCTTACTAACAAAAAAAGAATCATAGAAATCAGACAAGGAGGTAAAGAATTACTGATAAACATACATAAAAAATGAAGAGTTTGAGGATTTTCTCATGGACCCAATTATTAGAATTTTCCCAAATTTATATGGGACCACCCCTGAAGTACCCCCTTTTTAACAAAAAAAGAATCGTTGAAATCGAACACCGTGTTAAAGAATTATCACTGAATATACATAAAAAAAATATTACGACGTACTGAGAACCTCCTCCTTTTCTTTCGAGCAAATTGTCAAAACTAGAGAGAAAAAAGGGGCCAACTCATAAAAAAAAGTTATCTGACCAATATTTAATGAATTTATAGCCATTTTTATACCTGAAAACGTAATGTATATAATTTTGAAGAGCGTGAAATTCCCCACAAGGTTCATCAAACCGATTTGCAATTTTGTAAAAGGCGGGTAAGCATTAGAAATTAAAAAAAAAAATAATTTTTTACAAGCATTTTAAATGGTAAAACTTGAAATTTAAATAGTAAGTACTAAAAATTGATATTAAGAGCTCAAACTTGTTGAGAATTTTATTTCTAAATTGCTGTTCCGGTAAAACTGACGCAAATGCAAAATTATGACTTTTTGATTTTAACATGTCATTAGTTTCCAAATTAGTCTATCTATACAGTATAACAAGGAAGTAATTTTATATCCACTCGCGGCTGCTAGATGGTAGTTGCGTCAGTTTTAAAATATTAAGCCCCTCCACTTTTGGAAAACAATGCCACATGATTCAGTTGTGTCTGCAACTTTAAGGGAGAACTTACTTACTCAATGGTTAATGTCGTATTTGCTATTTAGGACAAGTTCTTTGTAATTTATGTGCCCAAATTTGGAAATAATATTTGTTTTTGGTCTCTCCTGAAACATTTATAATTTTGCATTTGCGTCATTGGGTAGTGTGAATAAAAATTAAGCAATTGCTTTTACTTAAAAACGAGTAACAAATCGTGCTTATTTTTTTTAAATAAAATTTCTGGACCTTACTTAAAGTTCTTAAAGTCTTTATCAAATAATTAGTATTCCCCAAGTTTAACTAAAAATTTTATTTATTGGAAAGTAAGTACGATTTGTTACCAATTTTTAAGTAAAAGCAAATGCTTAATTTCTTTTTCACCCTACCCATTGCTTAAGCACCGAAAAAAATTTTTTTTGCGGAAATGAACCACCTTAAGGTACCCACATAAACTTACACTGAAGGTTGTAAAGCCATATTTATAATTTTACTTAAAATAAGCAAAAAAGGGAATACTCCCCACAAGTTGTTAAGTGGTTACAATTTATTCCGATTGGAATGTACTAGATAAAAATAATTCTTTTAGTACTCATTACATCAAAAAAACTAATCAGTTATATACTTCAAATTGAAACTGGTTACTTTTGAATATAAAATACTTACTAAAAAGACTTTGAAGAGAAAAAATATATTACAAATTATGAATGACTGTTATCAAATTTATTTGTTCTGATCTTCCTACACTGCAAACCATATTTGAAACAGACAATTTGTTTTTTGTTTTTGAGGAAACGTTAAGGAAAAAACCGTATAATATTTCAGAATTATGATTTATTTTCTTTTATATAATCCTTAACATTAAGTAATCTAGTTGATTTATGTTCAGTAATAAATTAGAGGAGGGAGTGTTTGAATAAGTTATTTTTTTTATTGCACTGGCGTGGGCGTCAGGATTGTCATTTGTGCCAGCACCGCACACCCCACACTTCGTGGAATGTTGTATTCATACGAAAAAACAAATCGATAGGTATATAAATTATAAATATATATTATATAAAAAACAAACGGAGGTCCGGGCCCTTTAGGGGGGACCGCCATCACAATAGCTACCGACGCGACACTAAAATGTATTCGGTAAAAATTCTTTGCTAACTTTTTACAAGAGCGTGACTATCAATTAACAAGTCATATTCAGTTGTAAATCGTAAAAAATAAAAAAATAAATGAAATAAAAAAAACAAACGAATAATAACAGTTGCGTAGCTATGCCAAAGTCTACCATTCACTAGGTAACAATCCGTTAATTTAAACACAGCCTCGCAAAGCCATAAAATACTTTTAAGGTATCTTCATTTTTTCACTCAAGTAATTCACTAAAATTTAAATATGTATATGTATAATATGATACAGTTGTCTATGAAACATATTTACAATTTTGTATATATAATCATTACATAATACACTTTCTTCATTATTTTCACAATCTACAGTATTTACAAATATATAGATATATAAATATATTCTTTTATCACTTTTGTTAGTCTGATAACCGTCTCGAGAGAAGTACGTTGCACCACTAGAGCTGCTCCACGAACTTGCTGAGCTGGTCCTGCGGAGTCATGGTCGGCACGTCGTTATTTGAGTCTTGGTTCGGCGCCGAGGCGGGCGAGGCGTGTGGGTGGAGGGCGTTCGAATGGTTCTGACTGAGGAGCATCTCGGAGGCGGCGAGATCGTGCGGCGACGGTTGGGGCCCGCGCGGCGACGCCACCGCTTGGTTTCGCGGGCTCGGCGCCGTCCGAGATGACGGACTCGGCTGCGGACTTCTGAAACAATTTTATATTTTAAAAATCTACAATTCCAAGATTATTATGTAGCGATTTATCATTTATTTATTTATTTATTATGAGTCACAGTCCATTAAAATGTAATTCATAGTCATTAAATAATTATGCAATGTAGAGGAAATTAGAGGTAAGTTGGGCAATGAAATATCCGAATTGAAACCAAAATTACAGATACCGTAAAGTTGGATGACTTTGACTCACTGTCAAAACTTAAATCTAGTTTCGGATGTTAAATAAAAGCAAATCCAAATTCGAATTTTCGCCATAAGTTAGTCTTCAGTTATATTTTAAGAATTATTAAGCAAAATATCTCAAATGGTCTAATTTTTCAAATAAAAAATACATGTGGCACTCGGGGACTGCCGCGGTAAAGCTATTACATAACATTTTTTATCAACTTATGCAATTATAATTATTTATTTATTTTATTTATGCAGTATTTTTTTTTCTTTGCTATTAATTTAAGTTACACTTTTTGAGGGTGGTGACCAATAAGAAAACAAATTTTTTTCTTTTATTAAATAAATTAGGAGTTAATATTGTTTAAAATATTTTTATTATCTTACAATACATGTAGGTTATTCAGAAATTTTTATCATTGAAACTATAGGTTTATGGTAACTGAAATAAGAAACATAAGTTTGAGACTTGATATCCTCTAAATATCTGGAAAATACCGCGTCAATGGTGGTCCCACACAAACACCGTACCGAAGTCTGCCGAACTGAAACGACGTTAGACGATGCACGGCTTTCAACGCCGCACCGCTGTGCCGGTCGAAGTGGGGGTGTTAGGTTTATTTTCGTTACGGAATTTCTTGATTCGGTCGCCGCGCTCAAAGCCCGCGATAAAAGCTATGCAATAGCTTAAAAATAAAAAAGGGGTGTGCAAAGTCACCCGCAGTTAGAGGGTGATTTTGACTTACCCATCATTTTACATTGTTTTCTCTTCTCTATAATATTACTTGCTGGTTTAAAGCCACCCATCACAGTTGATAGTAAAACACATTTTATTATTAAAAAATTGTTTTTTATTGCTTACGGTAAAGATAATAACAAAAAATGTTACAAACATTATTGTTGGTTGCATTCAAATTTTATCACCTTTCAATTTTGATTATTTTGCAATGAGTTAAATTTTTTATACTACAAAAAGCGTAAGCATCCAATTGTCTTTAAATAAAGTGTTTTGGGTAGTTTTAATACCTTACAGTTTAACCAGCGTGAGTTTTATTTTAAAAATAACTATTTACTGATTTGAGCTAAAGTCACCCATGCGGGTCAAAGTCATCAGACTTTACGGTACACCAAAAACTACAAAAAAAAATATAAAAGAAAGCGAAAATTTGAAAAATTAATAATTAATATGTAATCCAAGGAGTTTTTTTCTTATTTTTAACGTTTCAGCATTTTCCAAATTTTTTACCCATTCATGGATATTATTTTTGATTACTAGTCAGGATTCTTAGGTAACACTTTATTAATATTTTATAGTTTAAATAAGTTCTTGTTTCATAATTGCTATCTTACGAACAAAACTCAAATGGTTAGAGTAAATCATCACTATTTTAACTCATTTCAAGTTACCTCAGGTGTTCCTCAAGAATCAAATCTTAGTCACTTATTCAACTTGTTTATAAATAATTTCATTCATTGTTTTCAGGATGGCAAAGCACTATTGTTTGCAGATGATTTAAAAGTTTTTTTTAGTTATTAAAACCATTTATGATGCCCTCTGGCTTCAGTCTGACCTTGAAAATCTATCAAACTGGTGTTCCTCTTAAATGGCATGGACTTGAATACCATAAAGTGCCATGTCATGTGTTTTTATCAATCCCATGTACCAACTACTACTTTTGATTATAATTTAAATGGTCATATCTTGGAGTCTGTTAATCAAATTAAAGACCTTGGAGTTATTCTAGATCCCACTTTAAGCTTCAATCAACACATACCTAAGGCTATCCATAAATCCATGAAAATATTAGATTTTATCAAAAGGCTAACACATGATTTTACTGACACAACTGCATTTAAAATCCTTTATTGTTCACTAGTCCGACCTCACCTAGATTATTGCTCTTCTGCCTAGTCTCCACATTACATAATGCACAGCAGAAACATAGAAAATTTCTTAGATACATTGCCTATAAATTGGGTGTCTTTCGCAAGTTTGGAAACTAGGAGGAAACGGAGAGAATTGACATTTTTAAAATTATCAATGGTAGATGCAGCTGTACTGAACTTCCAACAAAAATAAATTTTTATCTTTCAACATGTACCTTTTTATCATTTAAACCATACTTTTAGCAGCTGCATTCCAAGAATGTTAAGATTAGCCAACACTCATAACGATCTTGAGATATTTAACACCCCCTCTCATAAATTTATAAAGCAATTACTTAGTACTGAGCTTTAATCTTTAATTTTTAATGTTTAATGTAAATATTTTATTCAACCTTATTGTCTTTTGTTTTTTTAAAGCATTTAAATTCTTTACCTATTTTAGTCTATATATAATGAATTATATCACGTTTGTATTTCAGCACCATATATTTTTCACTACATTTTATTTATAATTTATTTCTCAAATGAGCTTGCCCTTAAATAAATAAATAATATTTAATTATTGTTGATTTATAGTTAACAGTTTTATTATTTTTGTATTTTTTGGAAATAAATTGTAAGCCATTTGGAAATAATTTTCTGTAGAGATTTAATTAAATAAATAAAATTAACGTACCTTATAGGAGGCGGACTGCGCACACTCTGCATCAGCTGTTGCTGCTGCACAGATATACCCTGTCCCTGAGGTGGTCCCATAACCCCCTGCGGCGACGGCACAGGAGGCGGCGTGGGTTTCAATCCCTGCATCTGTGGATATTGCTGATCACCAAACGAGTTATTATATCCCATGTGCGGCTGCCTGATACCCGGCAACCGTTGCTGGTACGTGGGACAAGCGCCCGGTTGCTGGAAGCCAGGTTGCTGCTGTTGCTGCTGCTGTTGTTGTTGCTGCACCTGCTGCTGTTGGACCTGCTGCTGTCGCTGCATCGCCAACATCTGCTGGTGTTTGAACCACTGCTGGTGCTGGGTCATCGGTTGACCTGGGCCTGGACCCTGGTTGAGACCTTGCGCCGCTGCCTGGTTGATGAGGCCTCCTTGCATCTGCATCCGGTTTTGATGCTGCTGGTTGGAGTTTGGTTGCTGGTTAAGGATATGTTGGAGTTGTTGCTGAGGAGGGGTTCCACCACCTGCCTGTTGAATTTGTTGCGCCTGCTGGTAAAAAGCAACATCAGTATGGGCTTGAAGACGATGCTTATTTGTGCTTTTTTTTTAATTAAACATTCTTTTGATTTTTTTTTAAATCGTTCTGAGAAGTAACGTATGACAAGTTTTTTTTTATGTAAACCATAGGTAATTAAATGTAATATTAATTAAAAGTTTTTACTGGTTTGTACTTGAAAGTCAGTATATTATTTTAAAAATAAAATTTGGGTCAAAGTAATTAGTGTAACTAACACTTTGCACAAGTTAAAAAAAAAATAACCCATAGTAATATTGTTTCCAATTTTTAAGCAGTTTCAATTATATTGGAGAACCAGGAAAATATAGAAACAAAGTTACATTAAAAAATGAAACATTTTATTAAGTTATTATTTTTATTTCTATTAAAAACAAGTCATTTTTTGGAATTAACTACATATTATGTTACATACTGTTAAAAAAATTTTATAAACAGATTTGTAAGTCAGTTTTACCTTTTTTGTATCAATTTTTTGGGAGAAGGAATATCAAGGATCAACTCGGGTCATAGGTGAATTAAAAACATTTCATAACCATCTTGAGTTTTTAAACTCATTTTAGGTTTCACTCTGAAACAACCAAATAATGGTCAGATATGTAATTTTTAATAATATTAACCTTCATTATCTAAAAAACAAATGGAGTTCTTGAAGTCTGTGGAATTAAACAAAAATAAATAAATAAAAAAGACATTGTTGTTCAACCAATTTTTAACCAACTTCAAAAAAGGAGGAGGTTCTCAATTCGTCGTAATATTTTTTTTATGTATGTTCAGCAATAATTCTTTAACATGGTGTCAGATTTCAATGATTATTTTTTTGTTATAAAGGGGGTACTTCAGGGGTGGTCCCATATGAATTTGGTCAAAATCTAATAATTGAGTCCATGAGAATATCCTCAAACTCTTCATTTTTTTGTGTATGTTTAGAGATAATTCTTTTCCACCTTGTCTAATTTCTATGATTCTTTTTTTGTTAGTAAGGGGGGACCTCAAGATATGGGACATTTGCACGGTTTTAAAGTTTTTTAAAATTACTTTTAATACTTGTCATAGTAAATTTTTTAATATAAATTCCCAAAAACTAAACGTTTTGATAGGTTGGAAGGTCTTTCAAATAACTGTATTAGGGACGAAAACTGAAAGAATTACTTTAAAATTTAATTTTTGAACCAGTTGATTTCAACAGATCAATTAGTCAATTATATGACATGATTAGGCTAAAATATATGTCACAAATAGCTTCCCTAAACTTATTATAATGGAAATATGTATTAGGTTGTTAGTTGGATAAATTATCCTGTAGGATATACCCCAAAAAAAAGAAGGTATTAGGTTACCTTAAAAATACCAAAGATACTGCGAAAATGGACATAATAATAATAATAATAATAATAATAATAATCATTATAAAAGAACATAAAATAATTGAGAAACACTTCAATTATTAATAAACTTATATTCAGTTTTTACAGAAAGATGTGTCTAAAAATTGTCCAAATATTTTCAAATTACAGACATGTATATTGTCTAATCCTAGATAACTTCTAATATATAAAAATAAGGAATAACAGAAATTAAATTGTTTGTTTTGATTTTCTATTTGTAAATTTGGAGCAGTAATGCAGAGTTAATTATTTAAAAATCTCAAAAACTTGACAAACTTATTTATTTTTCATTTCTCAGGAAAAGTGCACTCTTTTTAATAAAAGTTACTTCGCCTAAAACCGTGTGTTAGTTTAATACATTTGGCAAAAATTTTACATAGTATGAAGAAAATACACCAAGAATACACGAAATTTGAAAAATTTTTTTGGTCAATTTAATAAACTAAATAAGTGTAATTCATTGAATATACTTTATGAAAAATCTTTGATTAAAAAAAAACTTTAAAAATAACAATAGTTCAAATGTCCCTTATGTTGAAATTGATTTTTTCTTGTGTATTTAACAATTTTTTTTTTAGCTTTTGATAGCATATCCATAAATTTACATCGCATCAAAATAAATTAAAGATAAAAGAAAATAGAAACATGAATTACCTGTCTCTGCTTGATGAACGCAGCCATGAGCTGAGGATTGGACTTGAGTATCGTCAAAATTTGTTGTTGTTGTTCAGCAGATTGCGGCGACCGCAGCGTTGCCATGAGTTGCTGCAACGCCTGTTTCTGCATCATGTTACCGGGAGCGTTGATGGGAGCAGCACCCGGCCGCACGACCGCCGGATTCTGTTGCATCGGCGTTTGGCCCATCTGGCCGGGTTGCATCACAGGAGGACCTTGTTGTCGAATGCCCGGCGCTACGCCGCTGGGATACCGCTGTTGCCATTGTTCCATAGGCAGTAAGTTACCACCACCTTAAAAAATACATTGTATGAAAGTTCATCAACTTTTAATCAAATTTTTATTGAATTTGAATAAAATTTGGATCAAATTTAAATCAAATTTGGATAAAACTTTTATCAAATTTTAATAAAATTATGATCAAAATATAATCAAACTTTAATCAAATTTTGATTAATTTTAATCGCATTTAAATTAAATTTGGATCAAATTTGGACCAAACTTTCAGTATATTAACTTACTTTGGCCGGCTCCAAGGTGTCCCATGCTCCTGATCTGCGGAGGCGGCATATTTTGACCTGGTACTTGACCAGGATTGACTTTTCCGTAGCCGACGTGTGGAGCTTGTTGGCGAGCTGCTTCTTCCTGGACCTGCTTCACCACCTGGAGAACGTTCGCCGGTGGTGTTTGGGCGCCTGGTTTAAGACCTATACCAGGTTGGTGAGGAGATTGAATTCCCATAGCAGGATTTGGTAGGCCTGAAATTAAAAAAAACGTCCAGAACTTTTAAATGATCTAATTTTTGAAAATCTGATCAAAACTTATGGCATAACAAAGGATATTTTTTTTTAAAGAATACCACATGTCAGTAAATGTTGATTTGCTATATATAAGAAGAGGTCTTTTCAGATATCTAGAAAGTCTGAAATTTCAAATTTTCACTTTTTCCCATCTATAAAATTTAATTTAGAACAAACTTTTAAAAATGAATAAATTTAAATACAAATAACTGTATATCTGTGAAATGGTTAATCTACGTCACGCTTCCTTCATAGCGCCGTTTTTCCTGTTTGAACTGGACCAATAGCAATGACTTAGGTCCTTTTGACATTGCAACTGCACATTTCTCTCTTTAACCCTAACATATACTCGTTTACGTAAACGATGGCCACCATATTGGGTCCCTTAACCACTTATCCAAGGTTCGTTAACACTGACAGGTGGCGCCATCTAGTGCCTTTTGGAAGTATTGGACTAGAAGATCTGTTGCTCATCTATTTTTTTTTTCTTTTATTTATTTGCGGGCCGGCATGGCACACAAATCTACCTTGTCTTAACTTTACCCACATTTTCAAATTCAAAAGAAAAATTCCGCGAATGCTGTTTTTTTTTACAAAATTTTATGAAAGGAATTACAAAAAGTGAAAATAATAATTCAATAATATATTTTGTTCATAAATAAAAAATAATAATTGGTAAATTCAAATCATCACTTACCAGGATTTAAGGTGTTAGCAGGACTGACAGCACCCCCTACCACCGACTGCACGCCACCACCGCCCATACCTATATTCGTCGCACCCGGAATCGGATTGACAGTTGGCTGGGTACCTCTCGACATGACCGCCATCCTCCTTCGCAGCAACTGCGCTTGCTGCAACCTCTGCTGGAGCTGTTGTTGCTTGAGTTTGTGCTTGATGTTGGAGCAGAACGGCACCGGACATTTGTTCTCCGGACAATGTTTCGCGTGGTAGCAACACAGCGCGATGAGTTGTTTGCAGATCGGGCAACCGCCGTTGTTTTTCCGCTTGCACACCTTCGTATGGTTGGTCACTCGCTTCATCTTCTGGCAACTCGGCAGGCGACAGTTCGCGTCGCGGCACTGACACGCGTGAACCAGAGAATGAATGCAACGCTGTAAAAAGAAAATACAAATTAGTACACTAGATAAAATACAATGAAATTAATCTTATTACCTGTATAGATAACTTCCTAGCTTCACCAGGATTGGCTTTGCTATCGCTCGGCGAGCTACCGTCGTCGATATCCAAGCCAAGTTTCTCCATTTTATGAGGATGACCTTCTTTCTCGTAACACTGTATGCACAAGTCAAAGTCCTCGCACAACGTACAGTGGTACCTGGTTTCGACGTGCGCTTTACAGCTGTTGCAAGTGTACACAAATTTATCCTGACCCTGGTTATGGAGTTCGTACAACATGGACATCGTGCTATATTTTGCTCTCCTTAGAGAAGAGAATTCGTAATGTTTTTCACGAGCGAGAGTTAGGAATGCGTCTCTACCGTCCATTAAATCACAGTTTATGAAAGGATCAGGATCCTGAATTGGCTGCAAGACAAAAATAAAACCTTTATTGCTTTGTCTAACAATCGAAAGTCGATGTCTTACCTTTAAGCTAGCGGCGGACTGTACAGAATGTAACCTAATAACAAAGAACACTTCTTTATGTTTTTCCATAGTAGCAAAAATCTTGGCCGACAAATCATTGCCGGTTTGAGGAGTATTGGATTTCTTGCTGCTATTTTTTCTTTGATTCGCTTTTGACTTTGTACTCTTTTTGGCTTTTTTCTGGCCCTTCTTTTTGCCGTCGGGACCCACTTCGCTCTCTTCCATCGACGAAAATATCTAGAAACATAAATTGATTTAATAAGTAAACAATTATATATTAAATAGACATTTTAGTAGTCATCAGTTGGTTTGCTTACCGCGGCCTCCGCAGCTTCGGCTTGTTTTCTCTTTTCTTCCTCCTCTTGGTCTAATTCTTTTATACTTTCTTCTAAAACATTTGGCCAAAAGTCACCTTCGAAGTATGGAAGATCAGCGGCCGACCTCAAGTTGTCTTCCATAGCTTGTTTCAGAATATCCTTAAAAAAAATTAAAGTTGTACAGAACAAAGCAAAAAAAATACAGGATGACCTAAAAACAAAAATTTCTTTCATCCAATCGGTATTTTTGTATAATCGTAGTCAGGGATACTTTTTGTTCTTATTTATTTATGGGTCAGAGGCCATTAGAATATAATACAATTGTAGAGAATACATTATACCGGGTGTTTAAAGTGTTACAGTTAAATACCGCCGAAAATGTGCATTTAATAAAAAAAAGGTTGAATATGGCTATGCTAATGCCTTCTTTTTTATATAATAAGGAATTCTTTTGTTTCTGTGGGTGGGTTCATTGAAGTTCAGCTTATTATCAAAAATAATGCCTAGGTATTTCACTGAGGATATGGGGTTGGTCTTAGCTAATGATAATTAACCATTAATTGACCATTTTGTGGGTTAACTTGTAATCTCAATTTGTTGAGCCATTGAGCATTATATCAATTTTATATTTTACAGTAATGTTTTGATTCAGTATATTTCCATTTGATATCAGAGCCATGACGTCTGGGTATTGTAGAGTGTAATTTACTGCCTTGGAGTATATATGACCTGAGAGAAAATCAAAGTAATATGTTGTATGAGAGGGGCGACGCTTGTGGTACATCTGCATTTGCAATGAAACTTTATTACTTTATTTTGACAATTGTTTTGAAGGACCTGCCGGCAGGATGCCGTGCGGCTGAATCCTTTATAAGAGTCCTAATTGTGAAAAAAATCAAAATTATCTCTAACCAGACTGTACTGTTGAAATAATTCTATTACTTTACATTAATAAAATTTTGTGATAACAGAATAGTAGATTTAAAATCGGTAATCTAAAAAGTGTACTAAAATTCATTTGAAAATAATTAACCTTTGTGTCATGTTATTTTCTCAAATTTAGAGTAATATACAGTATGATCTTGTAAAATAAAAAATATTATAATAACGTTAAACACTTACCTTATAATCTAACACTATCCTCTCGATAATTCCTTTATCTAACATTTTCTTATACCAGTCTTGCAATCTCTTAGGTTTTGGTATCTTTTGGTCCGGAGGATGGCAATGGAAGATGTAGTCATCACCTTCCGATGGGGGGCAGGCCCAAATGTGGGCCATTGTATAACCTAATTGTTTTACATAGTCCATATAACCTAATAAAATCTCGTGATACACAGCAGTCCTAAATTGTCTAGGTTTAAAAAAATGAACAGAGTCTAAGTACGCTATGTAGACGCGGCGCGTGTTCGGCGGCGGACACTCAGAACCGTATTCTTGTACGTGCATGCCGAAAAAACACACGTCGACGCCGTCAATTTCTTCGAAAGCAAACAGAGCTTTCGCCCTATACGGGAATTCCCCTCCTAATTCACCAGTCTCCACGAATTTGCTACGCATGCCCTGTTTTACTTCGACTACCTTGTCCGAACTAGAAACTACGCGGATCGACACCTCACCAGCGCCCGCCTCCTTTTTCTTTAAGAATATGTTCACTCGGTTTTCGATATAGGTACCCAAATTTGTCGGAGGCAGTCGCTTCGCCGTGAATTTGTTATCTCTCCTTTTCAGTCCCCTAAGCTTGAAGCATTCGTCGCAAGTAAAACCCTGCGGCCAAATCGATTCTATGTGAAGCACACATATTTGATGAAGTTTACGCCCGCAATCAGTGCAATTTACAAAAGCTTCCATTTCCAGATGATCGTTCTTCATTTCTTTAAATTGGTCTTTCTTTATTGCTCTGTAAAACAATGTAGTTGTTTCGTCAGTAGTCCTTAAAGTCAAAACATTACATGTACGGGTTCTTAGGACTTCTTTTGACGGTGACGAAACAAAAGTGAATGCAAAATAAAACCACCAAATATTAAAAAATAAGCAATTCAAACTATGTTAATTATTAATCAATAGACTGATATTAAAACCCTTTCAATGGGGTAAGTAGAATAGTGCTGACCTATGCAGAAATGAGTTCTGTTTGAAAACAGTATAAGAGTCTGATGTATCGAAAATAATTGGGATTTTTTTATTTCCGATATTAATACATTATATGTCGTTCAGTTTGTTTTTAAATCCAGTGTTGATATGAAAATTTGACTGTGAATAAAATATTAATTAATATAATAGTAAAACGGGGACACAAAATCAATACCACATAAAAACTTTTACACATAATTTGACTGTGGAATATCCTACACTCATCTTACCCTAATTACTTTTGGGACTTGAGTTATTACTTACTAGTCCTGATAGTCATTGTTTCTTGTTTCATAGAGATGTCAAGCTAGTTTTGATCGTATTCCTTCCTACAAACTGTAACACTGACTTATACTATTCAGACTTCTTCTGAATTGGTTGAATTGCCATTTCTGACCACTCTTACATCATGACCTACCTACTTATGCAACATTAAATCAATGAACTCTGACGATTATATATCTTTGGCAAAATTTCCTTTGATTGGCACATTTCATTCATCAATATGATTGAATTTGCTAAATTGATAATTTAAATTCTAATCACCTATGTTTGTTATATTTTTAAATTTCTAATAATTTTTGTAAGATTTGTTAACATTTTAATATTCTTTTCCCACCTGGTAATCATTTAAATTTTATTATACAGGGTGGGGCGGAATGGAAGGTGTAGAGGGCCGAGGATAATGTCATTTGATTCATTGTTAAATAGTAACATTTAAGCTTTAATTTTTCGTAATTCAAATTTCTCAATAAATTCCAAGGTAACCTATATATTTTATTGTAAAAAACAAAACCTAAATATTTCAAAAACCCTATTTTTAGTTTTTTTCTACTCCATCTATCAATAAATAATAATATAATTCGAGAATTGTTGTTGAGGTCTTATTTTCTCATAAGACACTGCACAAATAAAAAAAAATCTCAAAAATTTGCACGGTAAGGTATAGTTAAAAGTTCAACATTAGATAAATAAGGACTTCAACTATTAGAAAAAAAATAAATTTTAGTCATAATCTAATATTTTTTATTTAACATTGGTAGCGAAGGGGGTGGCGAAAGGACCTCCTTAAGATGACTTTGAGCAGTTAGATACCTTTCTTTGATTAATTAATATTTTTTCGAGGTAATATGTGCTATGACAAGATAATTTTATCATTTAAAGCAGCGTTGTCAAGTTGTAAAAAAAAAACTCAGAACTAGAGAAATTTAAAATAAATCCGTTATTAGCGCAGTTGATAATAACATTTAAATAGGACTAACTATCCCTCTTAAATATTAAAATTTTGCAAAATTTCAGATATAGGAGACTATTCTGTTTCGTAGTTGCTACCAAGCAAATTTTTTAGAGAAAATTTGAATTATCTAAGTACTAGCAGTTGAAAGAGTGATTTGCAGACAAACATTTTTGGTGGTTAAGTCTAACAACTAGTTGCTGAGAAAGAAATATGCACTATTGGATAATAAATATTTTAGTATATCAATAAATAAACTGTATGTATGTGTATTGATGAGTTAATAGAAACTTATCAGAAGTAAATAGGTACATATACAGTACGATAACAGACGCATATTCGGACGTGAGAGGCATAAAGAGAGTAACTGGTTTAACTACGCATTCGGCGACAAATTATTCTATATCTGTCTATTCAATACCATTGTATTTCTATACAGTTCTTCTAGAGTCAGGAATAAAAAGTTAACGTATTGTATAATGTTTTCTAATGATTTGTTTTAAGAAGGACTACTTTTTTTGCTTGCGATTTGTATCTGTAAGCTATGGAAAATGGGTTGCTTCAACACTCTCATTTTGTCTACTCCAGGGACATATAATTGCCTTTAGACTCCAAAAATTTGATGTTTATTTTGTCACATATTTTCAATATTTTTCATTATATATTTTAAAAAGTACCCACCTTTAAATAATAGAAATCCCAACACGTTAATTTTTATTGAGTGGAATTTTTTTGACAGTTCTATGTTCTGAGATATTTAGGGCGAGTCATTTTCACAAAATCTACATATTATTTTCATAAATTTCCTCATTACCATTGAGATACTTATGCCCGGAAAAGTTTCCAATATTTCTCATCACTGCATTTTTTTAAATATAGTTTGAAGTACAGGTAAGTTGCACTATTGGATTATCCTCTTTGAAAGGGTTTATCAATATACTGAAATCCTTTTGCCCATGGCACATACAATGTTAAGATTATGAAACATTTTTTGAATTACACAATAAAATCTATTTTTAACACATTTAGAACTCAAAATGCTAAGAAAAATACATTTCGTTATATAGACTAGCATTAACCAGTAACATCAGTCAAAGGCATGAATGTGAAGCTTCTTTTATAAAAAAAAAAAATCGATTAAATTAACAGAAACCTTGAAATATAAGTTGATATCCTAACCTGGAATTGTATTTATTATTTTTCAAAATTGATTACTAAACGATTATTTAACTAATGGCAACTACTTATTTTAGGAATATATTTTAATACCTGTGACATAAATAAAATAAAACTTCAAAAACTAGTTACAAGTATTAAGTCTATAAACAAAATTCACTAAAAGTAAATTTATTTGGCTCCTAATAGATTTTTTGGACTAATACTAAGTCCTTAAGTTTCTATTAATTTTGACTTATCCTAAATGTTCTTGTACACATCATAATGTCTAATAACCATCTTAGCTTTGGACAAGCTGTCAGAAAGCTTGTTTATTGGAATTTATTTAATTGCATTTTTTATTTTATTTTAAAAATAAAATAGAGAGAAAGAGAATATTTAACATACTTTTGTAAGAACAAGCAAAAATACAGTTTTTAAGGTCACTTTCTAAGTAAAAAGTTAACAAATTTTAATTATTCTGAAAAATAACTTTTGTATCTACAAATGATCACAAAACTATTTGCATCAATCCAATGCACAAAAATATAGAAATAAATTTTTATTTATTCCAAAAATACCTTTAGAGGTGTAGGATGTCATAGTACATAAATATACATTTTATTCATAAATACACATTAAACACAGTTTACATAATATACATTTTTTTTTAATAATCGATATTTTATATAATTACTGCATCACAGAAGAATTCGTCTAAGTTGTAATATGCTTCATCACACAAGGATGACTTCAGTTTTAATTTTAGTGATCTGATTTCTAAAATCTTTTAAATACATTTTTTTGGATATATATGTATCTTGGGATGTCCGTTTTTATTATTTCTTTTACAAGTGACCAAGTGGTTTTGCTTTTATTAACAAATTTTTGGATGATTTCTTTCAAACATATTTTTTTGCTAAGTTTTTTTTTTAAGTCCTTAGCTTTGTAGAATACTGTTTTTACATCATCGCCTGATGTTAATATCACCTTCGATGCTCCAGGTCTATCGTTTTTTTTTTGCATACTCTAAAAACCTTTAGTCTTGATACAACCAAAGATCATGAGATTATTTTTCTTAGATTCTCTTTCATTTATCTCTTTAATAGCATCAAATTTCTCCTCACTTTCCACAGAGTTTTTTGCATTAGTTGTTGTAAATGTTGTTTTAAGATGTTTACTTCATTTCTTAATTTTCCTCCTGTTGCATTGTAAACAGCTTTAGAACATCATTGTGATTGTTTTCTACACTTTAAATTATTCATTATATCTGTAAAGAAATATTCATTACGACTACAGCATTCAGAGGGGTTATCAGGCTTAGATTTGATTTCACACAATGTATATCTTTTACCTTTAGAATTTTGCAGTTCCTTTTGTAGTGAGTTTAAGGTTGCCATTGTCCTGTTTATGCATTTTGTATATACAGCCAGTTTGCACAACATATTATATTTATAATTTTCCTTAGCCACAAGTCAGCAACTGTGTTAGCTTTTATATGCAGTCGTCATTCACAAACCAGTGTCAGATTGCCGTTTTTTTGTGTTTTTCACGGTTTTGTTGTTTTCCTTCACTAATACTTGGAGACACATATTAAACTGCTTTTCACAAATTATTTTTACGTAATTTTCGAAATTTTTAACTTTTAACAATTGGAACATGCATAATGAGCTATGGGGCAATCCACTTTACATATACAGAACTAGTACTCAAACATTCAGATATAGTTATCAAAACTTGTTTTATTAGTTTACCAATTAAATTGCTTGCAATTTCTTAAATTTTAGAATAGAAAAAAGTTGTTTGTTAATGTTTTCACAATTAATGCAATTAATCAAACTAAATAAATTAGAAAATTTAATAAATTATAAAAAATCGTTCAATTGAATAATTGTTTTCTTTATGAAAAGCAATTTTTGTATAATTCTCTTTCTCTCTATATTAAGTGGGCAAAAAATTGTTCTGTTACGCTGCATTAGTGAGACGTCAGGAAGCCAAACAAAACCAGACTAATTTAGTGTTCTAACATCTAATTTAATTTGATTACTATAGATCATTTAACTACTTTAGGAATATAAAATCATTTAAATGAAATAATAAAATTTCAAAAAACTTGGTATTTAACCTAAAAAACAAGGCACTAAAAACTCAACTAGTCAACTTTGTTTGGCTCATTTTTTATATCATCACTAATACGCTGTATTGCAGACTTAACTGTAACTTTCAATATCAGATGGTTTTATTAAAAAAAAAAGTCCTAAGTGGCGTTCTGAAACGGCCATTGATTACGTACAAGTTGTTTCTAAATAAAGTACATTTATTTAACATTTCTTATTTATCAATATATCCGAAAATAATGCGTTCTTCGATTGAAAAAGAGGAATATTAAGCCTTATAATAATATTGTTCCCAAAGATCCATTTTTTCAATGATTTTAATTGATATAGCTGGTAACACCCACTTACCAAAACGACTCGTGCAATGAAGACTACAGTAACTCATTTTTTGAAGTTTTTCATTTACCATTATCCAGCGCATATATTTTCCAAAAACTTTGATCTGGAAAAATATGTCTAAATGAAAAGATTAGGTAACCAGAAATATACCATAAAATATAGTAAGATATTTTAGGCCAGAAAATACTACGAATACTATATTATCTCAGATTTTCTCAAAACTATAAAATAATGAGTTACTATAGTCTTCATTGCTTAAGTCCAAAACAAGATATTAGAATATATATAAATTAAATGAACAGAAAAATTTACTTTTTATGTGTTACAACTGTCACAAGTGTTATATAAGTGCATGGCATCTAAAAATCAAATTTTAAAATGTAAAGTTGTCCATAAGACATTTAATTTAGTTTACTTTTTATTATATTTCATTATGTTTATTTTTCAATCATGGTGTATCCATGTTTTGTTTGTAATTAACATAATAAATATTTCATGAGCCATTAAAAAAGTATTGATTTTGTTATTTAATTATTTTCTACTAAAACAAAAAGAACAGGGCCGTGAATACTTAACTAAATCATTATAATTTTTTTTTTTCAAAATCCCAAATTATATCTGTAAGTAAACATGAACGCATTATTTTCGGGGACACTTTGTGTACTTTAAGCACAAAATATTAGTGTTATAAATAAATAAAGCAGATTATTTTAAATATTATCATTTTTTGACTAAGATTCTTACTCCATTTGCTCGAACTTTGATGATTTTCTAAACCATAAATTTGTTGAGCTGAAATTTTTTGGCGAGCTGAAAATTTTTTTTTAATAATAATTTCATCATGACACTCGTAATAAGAACAATACTGAAGATGAATTAAAAAAATCTGACATCATAATGAGTGATGATAAATATTTTTAATCGAAAATAGATACAGTTTTCCAAATCTGTATGGAACCAATTTGCTGTGTGTGTATGTAAAATTCTATGATACTAATGAGACATTTGTTTTAAGTATTAACATTGTTTTCCTGTACAGGAAATATATTTTTTAAAAAATACTGTCAAGATGTTGACCTTTATTGTACTGGCTGTCCAAATAAAAAAGAAGGAATATCTAAAGAAATCATCTATCATACAGATCTGAGATTTTTTTTTTTAACAAAAATGGTCTTTAGAAATCGCTGGAAATTAATGTCTAACTTCACCGATAGGGGACATAATGCATGGTCATTGTTTTTTTTTTTTTGTAAAAAAAACATGGAAATCTTAATCTGTGAGAAATAATACTTTATTTTGAGTACCCACTCATTTATCTGTGCATTATTGAACAATTTCTCTTGACCACTTTTATACTTGGTTTCCCAAATTTCTACAATGTGCAGTATTCAAGATACAGGCAGTATCCTATAGCTGCGGACGACAGGCGTCCTTTCTTATTTGGACAACTGGTACATATTAAATGGGGAATTTTCCTTATTTTTATTGAAGAAAATTGTATATTGACATAAGTTTTCGAGAGAAAAAATATTTTAGTAATGTTTTTTAAACTTTAAAATGTTTCGATATATGGTAATGTTGTTTAATAATTATTGACGATAGTCATAAATGGTCTAACAACATGGGAACCTTTTATTTTATTTTATTGTAACAAAAGAGCTACATAGTTAAAATGTATGTCATAGTTTAAATTCTAATTTCTCAATTGTAACTAGTTAGTTAGTACTTTTAAGAATCAATATTTTTGTGATATTTCTTTTTCACAAGAATATTCCCCATTTCTAATAAACTCACACACATACATTATATTTCCAAACAGGTGAAAACTGTATATATTGCTAGTTGACAAAATGTCAAACTTATTATGTATATCATTATTTTTTAATAAAGTTTTCTAAAACTTCTAATAATATTTCCTTAAGATAATATAAAAAATGTTATGGTATTGAAATTTTAAAGTAGAAATATGCAAAACGAAAAAAAAAATGAAACAAATAAGTATTTCAAAGGTAACACTTACGTCGTCTGAGCTTGAGTAGGATCATCTCCCAACGTGACAGTATCTCCTTGAATATCATTAAAACACTTCTGGCAGAAAGTGTATCTGTCAGAAGCTAGTCCATAGGCTTTCAAACTACTGTAACAGATAAAAAATAAAACGGTAACATATTGTTCTGTGAACATACTTTTTTTTTATTAAAAAATATTCTAATAGCCTACTTAATCTCCTCATGACAGTTATGAACGATTCTATGCAAAAACAGTAACTGTCAATGAACAGGAAACATGCTATAGGCACTGCTATATAAAAGATGAGAAAGGCAACAAAGAGAATCCCATAAACTACCATCCAGTCAGTCTTACAAGCTGTGTCAGTAAAGCAGTGGAAAAGATTATTATAAATTTACGCCCAAAAGATCTGTTGTTATAAATCTTTTAAGTACAGTTAACCAGTGGACAAATAGGAATGACAACAACCAGCCAATTGATGTGATATATCTTGATAAAGTTCCACATAGAAGGCTGCTTAGCAAACTGGACACTTTGGAAAAATAAACAATCTCTTATTGTGGATTAAGAGTTTCTTATTCAACCAACAATTCTGAATAAGAATAAATTGACAGCTCTCAAACAACCATCCAGTAGAAAGTGGAGTACCACAAGGTTAGGTCTTGGGTCCCCTATTATTTATATTTTATACACCAGCGATTTATACAAAATGATCAAGACTGAAGCCAACTTTTATGCAAACGTTGGAAAGATCTACTGTAAGCCACTGGAAAGGTCTCACAAAATGAAACAAGAGCTAAATAAAATAGGAATCTGGTTCCAGCAATGCTATTAATTACATAGATACTTTGTTCAAGACATTGAATTACTGGAAAGAGTTCAAAGGAGAATCATCAAAATGCCACCAATCCTACAAAACAATGAGTATGGTGAAAGGCTAACCAAACTAAAACTATCAATTTTAAAGGATAGAAAAACTAGAGGAGACTTGATAGAAACTTACCAGTGGTCCAACAGATATTACACCTGTGATAATATCTTCAAAAACCTTGAGAAGTCACTTGAATAATAGATAAAGAAAAGTGTAATAAACTGCAAAGAAAAATTGTCACTACAAATAAAACTGCATATCCATGGAATAGTCTCTAGGAATAGCCCAGAACATAAACCAGTTCAAGACGAGAGTGGATAAAGAACTTGAAGAATTAAAAAATAATTTTATTCATTATAGTTTATAGTATATTACGTCTTAACTGTCATGTAGTAATTTAAAATAATTTTTGTCACTAACTAAAAGAGTAGCTTCATTGATTATGTCGCTTGCCTGTTCTTAATAATATAAAAAAAAAAAATAATAAGACAATTTTAATTTACCTGTTTTGATAACTAAAGTACTTGGCATCCCTCGGTATAGTACAAAGCTGTTTACCATAACAACACAACACTTGCGGATTGAATGTGTACTTCCTACCGCAACAGTAACCCATTAATTGCATCACCGGATCTATTTCTTGTTCAAACACTTCTGATAACTAGAAAAGAAAATTTAAATTTATATAAAAAGTCTATGTAAAGTAAAACAATAATTTGGCGCATTTAAATCCTTTTATAACATCATTCTCACCTTTGTACAATATCTATACACTCTGCTTGTTTTCCTGTTATACAGCCAAGCATTGTCAAACATTAACCAAACATCGTCAACGTATTCCCAGGGATCCGCGTACTGGCCAATGTCAAGTTTCCTCTTAATGGTAGAGAGATCCATGGGTCTCTTTACTATATCGAAATAATCCGGTATACCCAGCGTCTGCGGATCCACCGGTTGTCTAAACGGTATGCTTTCTGGATCTTGTCTAAACAACTTATCCAAAGTGGGCATTAATTTTTGGCGTAGCTCGTCAGGTTTAAATACTAGAAAATAGTAAATTTAGAAATTATTAATAGATTAATCCACAACTATAAAAATCTCGAAAATTTTGTGAGACATTTGAACTACTGAACTTACTTTTTTGTTTTTTGTCTCCCCCAGTGGCAGTAGCGTTGGCAGTGTCTGTAATGGGAGGTTTGACGTCGCTAGAATTTTCAGAAGTGTTTGGCTCTTCCTTTATTAATCCAGGTTCCTCTTTAATTGTGATATTTTCGTCAAGTGGTTCCGATTTGATTTCCTGTTTGATTTCCATTTTAATTTCGTTCTTGATGCTCTTGCCGCCGTGGTTGTTTTCCATGTGATTTTCATTCATCTCCGAATCTTCTTGTTTGATATCAGTCTCCATCTTCATCTGATCCAGTTTTCCTTTACTACCGCCACCTTGTGGCGAGGGAGAATCTTCGTCCCTTTCCGCTGCCGCTGTAATGGCCGCCATTTGGGATGAAAGGGAACTTTGCCTGGGTGCGTTTAGGGCCGCTCGTTCTGAGCTGCTCATGCCTTTACCTGAAATAAATGAAAGCATTACTTATTTTCTTCTAGAATTTCAATCTGATGGGATAACTTACCCATACTGGCAGCCATAGCCGAAGGCGAGGCTTGGACTGGAGTTGCGGGTGCCGGTGACGCACCCCTGGAAGAACTAACAGATTTTGGTCCGACGCTGACAGGCATGGGCGTTGCTACGGAATCAGAAGAGGTGGAGGGTATTCGAGAGGTACTACTTTGAGCAACGTTCTGTTGATTAGGCTGTGAAATATTTGGTGGCTGTTGGACAAAACTGGAAGGAGATGGTGGTATTCGGTTTTGTTTCAACAAATCACTGAACTGGTTGGATTGAGAGTTTGGTCCCGCCGGTGAGACTTGCGGCAAACTGACGGGACCGTTGCTGGTAGTAGGGAATTGACTATTTGAAGTAGTTGTGCTGCCTTGTGAAAGGGGATTCCCAAAAGGTGATAGGCCAGGGTTTGAGGTGGTCGGACTTGGTCCTGGTAAACCAACATTTTGTTGCTGAGGGGGTGGTTGCTGGGTATTTTGTTGTTGAACTGGGAACATTAACCTACTGCTGTTAGGGTTCAGAACGCCCAAGCCACTTATTGGAGGTCCGCCAAGAGCTGGAGAACCACTTCTTAGTTGCTGTTGGCCTTGGTTTGGTTGCTGTTGTGATGGCTGTTGTTGCTGGCAAGGGAGAACGTTCACTGGTACTCCTGGAGGACGAGTTACCATTCCTAAAAATTGCAATAACAGTGTTTAACAAATTTCTAAAGTCCAATAAAAGCATTTATATGTTGATGGAAAACTTACCCTGAATATTTGGTCTAATCTGGGGCGGCTGAGAATGTTGCAGTTGCAATTGAAGTTCCTTCCTTTTCAGTCTTTTCTCTTCCAATTCCTTTTGAATTTTGTAAATTTTCTCAGCCAAAAGATGATAGTATTCTGATCTAGAATTGGCCATTTCATACATGTCTCCTTCGACTTTTCTGGCGTACGCCACCAAATTATGCATCCTTTTATCTAACAAAGCTTGCGGGTCAGGTGTAGGAAAGATCGCCTGTACAAGTTTATGCACCAGATGGTTTCTGAGATCAGGAGTGACAGATTGATGCCATTCCTTAGTTCCGGTTACAGGCGACGCCGTTACTTGACCTGGCCCTAAACCAGATGGTAATTGATTCATTAATCCTTGGTTCGCCGCTTCGGCGCCGCTCGCCAAGCCAAACATGACGTTATTAACGCTCTGTTGGATGCTGGCCGCCGTTTGGCTGATTCCCTGCGCTTGAGCCGAATTCGAAGGATCACTGCTCAATGGTAGAGAAACATTGGGTGCTGCAGGACCTGGTGGAGCTAGCACCCGCACGCCTTGCATGCTGTTTCCTATATTGGGTAAGGCATTGCCGCTGTTCACTGGTAACCTTAAACCGGGACGTGGTTGTCCCGAATTTGGTATGAGACCGGTCGGACTTGGTCCTGAGGCAGAAGTGGGAATTTGGATACCGAGAGCATCATATGCTCGGCGCATATCCGTTGCTGAAGGATTCGGAGATTGGTTATTTTGAGGGGCGTTAGCGGCAGCTGTATTAAAAAAAAGGCAATATTACATTTTATTTATTATTAAAACTTTAGATTCAAAATAAAACAATTTAAAAAAACAAGTACCATTTGGGTTGTTGCGATTTTTGTCGGCTTGTTTTAGAGGCAAGCAGACAGGACAATCCGTTCTGACGCAATTCTTCCAATGGCTGATGATCTGCCTGGACGAACTACAATGCGCTACGGAACAACTTTTTCCTGCATTGCAGGTGGTCATGTGGTTGAGTACGTTTTTCATTGTTTTGCAATGCGGCAGGGTGCAAGACCACGCTTCTCCGTTAGTCTGAGACTCTCTTCTTTGGCACTTGTGGGCGTGCAGTAATAGAACCAGTTGCTGTTGGATAAGCTTTCGTTTTTCTGGATCTTTGAACAAAAAGAGTTTTAATTATTTAGTTTTAAAAAGTTTGAAGTACTATTAGGAAAGATTGCTCCAATGGCACTCAAATCAAAAATATTGATTATTAAAAACTGAGTTAGTTCACTTAGTAGGCCAGCTGAGCAATCTTATTTGGAAGGCAACAAAAGTAGGATTTAGGCATATTTTAAATACATTTTCATATATATTTTTTTAAATACCCTCACAACTCATAATAGTTAAATACATAATAACTTACAATTTTATTAAAAGAAGTAAATTCTTTCAAAAAATAAAGAAAATATTTCCAATCTTGAAAATCTACGAATTTTCCTATGAATTACAGAAAATGAATTCATTTTTTCTAATATTTCCTTGTTTATAACTGCTCGACTACCTAAAATAATGTTATCTTAAAATTCAGGAATGTTTTTTTAACCCTTTTATCTACCTTACAAATTTTTGGCAACAGGAGCTCACAAAATGTTTCTACTCGTTTTCAAGAGATGGCTATGAGCCAGACAAGATTTTGAATGGTTTGATTGCTTTAAACATGATAAGTGTTGAAGATCACACTCATTTGCAAATCTTCAGCAAAAAAAATCCTTTGGCAGGAGCTCCAACTCACTCCTGTCAGTTCTGACATTTCGTCTACTCATTTGACAAGATTTAAAGTGCCAAACCACTAGAAAACTTGCATAGCATCCTTCTTGAAAGCCTGTTGGAGTATTTGGTAAGCTTCCATTGCCAATTTTGCAAGCAGAAAGTAAAATATCACACATTCTTTGTTCCTTGAAATCTTATATAACAATTTCACAGACGCAAATGAAAACAACACTACAAACAACTATTAACCTTCTACGATGATGCCAACTAATTTGGGAAGGTCTCTACTAGCTGCACATAGTAGGAGAACTCCTTACTACGCCTAGGAATGGGTGCATGCTTTTTTCCTTTTGTTTGGGTCTTTCCTTGTATTAAATTGAAAATAAATTCAAAAATATTTGAAAGACCTACTTTTTTTGTATTCAGAGAATATTAATCAGTCCTCTGCTCTTCTCACTGAAATAATGAAGGTCAATGTACAACAAGGTCCGAGTTCATTTCTGTTCTGTTTGGTGTTGAAATTTAAGAAAGAAATCCTATCAAGTTTATTGTAAACAGATGCTCTGGTGCTGCTAAGTAATTTGGTGGAAGTATTAGGTAAGAGGACAGGATCCCTGCAGAGAGAAAAAGTCAGGGAATGGAGTAATAATTAAAGTGATTATGAAAAATGTAATTGGGAACCCTACAACTACAAATCTCACAAAATTCAAACTGTTAGTTTCTAAAATAAAGACTAAACGTTTCAGTTGGTACAAATGGAAACTTTAATACATCTTTTTGAACGAATTTGTAAACATCCCCTCACTTGAAAGAGTCTTTTTTATTTTTCACTGTTTGAAACCGAAATGTTAAGTATTCTTTTACCCCTAAAACCCACTATTGTTTAAAAAATAATCTATTTACATAATAAAAAAGCCTCCAACCTTTACCTGTGGAAGGAGCCGGTTGGCCTCCAGAAGGTCCACCAGGATTCTGTGTAGCTTGCTGGGGTCCAGGCTGCGTCCCACTGGGAGCCCCCGAGAGGGGTTGGGCTGGCGATGGAGCAGGTGGTTGAGTTTGAACTATCCCACCGTCTCCGCCGCATCCTGGAGGTCCAATTCCTTGACCGGGAACGTTCTGGGTGCCTCCGAAGCGAGGACATTGATTTTGAAGATTCATTTTTTGTTGAGGAGTGACTACACCTGTGATATGTAGATTTTTTAGTTCAATAAAAACACAATTGAAGATATCAATGTTACAGAAAACCAAAATAATATGAATTGGTTATTTATGAAAACTAATTTAAACAAAAAATAATAAACTTAAACCCTTACCATACTCACCTACTGGAACCCCTTGGGCGGCTTGATTGGGATTCGTGTATCCAAGATACTGAGGATTCCCGGTCATGCCCTGAGGTCCTAAATGAGGCGGCCCTACCGTTTGAAGTCGGGGGCCTCCTATGTGAAGGGAACCGGGCGTCCTTTGATTCAAATGCATGCCCACCCTATTCATCATGGGCCCATTGGGCAGTCCTTGAGAAACGTTATGATTTCCTGGGTGCTGTGGGTGACCTGGCGCAAAAGAATTTGCAAGCGGCTTATTGACAGTACTACTGACAACTAATCCACCTCCTGCCATTCCACCCATAGTACTCATATTGCTGCTCGTCATTATCATATTACCGCCAGCGTTACTGATGCCTGTAAGGAGGAAAATAACCTCAGAAACTACCAATAAAAGAATCGAAAAATTATTTGAGTACGTATATAGGGTGTTAATGAATTAAAATAGCTCTAAAAATCCCAATACATTTAAATGTTCCTCTCAAACTTCAAAAAATTATAGGCACTCAGACAATACAAGTTCCTAACTACTAGTGCTGACAGAGTGTCCTAGTTTTTGTATGTGACCTATGCCAACTTATCATAAGTGGGATCAGCCTTGCAATAAATACGTAAAAAAAGCAAATAAGAACAATTTGTAAGTTATTAAATTTAAAATTAAATTTTGATCATACAGATTATAACAAGAAGATTTAAAGCACTCATTAAAAAATAATTGTAAGACTTTTCAGAAGTGGAATCAGCTTTGCAATTAAGTGCAGGGCAAACGAATGAGAACACTTTGAGAGGAATTTAATCATATTTGGAATTTTGTCACTCAATTTTGATAATTTTAAAGGTTAAAACAAGGCACTCGTTTAAAAATAATTTCAAAACTTTTCAGAAGAATTAAATCATATTTTTGTAATTTAGACATTAAATTTTTATAAGAAAGAGATTTAAAGTATGCATTAAGGATGTTTTTTGTAAGACTTTTCAGAAGTGGGACCAGCTTTACAATTTGAGCGAGATTAAATCACAATTTTGTCATTCATTTTGATAATTTGAAGAGGTAAAAGCAAGATAATTTAAAGCACTCATTTAAAATTGATTGCAAGACTTTTCAGAAGTGGGATCAGCTTTGTAATAAATGTGTGGAAAGCAAATAACACTTAAGAGGGATTAAATCATATTTGTAATTTCAACATTAAATGCTGATAATCTGAAAAAGTTCTTAAGAAAAATATTTAAAGAACTCATTAAGGATATTTTTTGTGAGACTTTTCAGAAGTGGGATCAGCTTTACAATGAGTGTGAGAACAATTTGAGCTAGATGAACTCACAATTTTGTAATTCAATATTGATATTTTTAAGAGGTATAAGCAAGGTGATTCAAAGCACTCATCAAAAATTGATTGCAAGACTTTTTAGAAGTGGGATCAGCCTTGTAATAAATGTGTGGAAAGCAAATATCAGTTTGAGAGAGATTAAATCATATTTGTAATTTCAACATTAAATGTTGATAATCTGAAGAAGTTTATAAGAAAAATATTTAAAGAACTCATTAAGGATGTTTTTTGTAAGACTTTTCAGAAGTGGGATCAGCTTTACAATAAGTGTGAGAACAATTTGAGCGAGATTAAATCACAATTTTGTAATTCAATATTAATATTTTTAAGAGGTAAAAGCAAGGTGATTCAAAGCACTCATCAAAAATTGATTGCAAGACTTTTTAGAAGTGGGATCAGCCTTATAATAAATGTGTGGAAAACAAATAAGAGTTTGAGAGGGATTAAATCATATTTGTAATTTCAACATTAAATGTTGATAATCTGAAGAAGTTTATAAGAAAAATATTTAAAGAACTCATTAAGGATGTTTTTTGTAAGACTTTTCAGAAGTGGGATCAGCTTTACAATAAGTGTGAGAACAATTTGAGCGAGATTAAATCACAATTTTGTAATTCAATATTGATATTTTTAAGAGGTAAAAGCAAGGTGATTCAAAGCACTCATCAAAAATTGATTGCAAGACTTTTTAGAAGTGGGATCAGCCTTGTAATAAATGTGTGGAAAGCAAATATCAGTTTGAGAGAGATTAAATCATATTCGTAATTTCAACATTGAATGTTGATAATCTGAAGAAGTTTATAAGAAAAATATTTAAAGAACTCATTAAGGATGTTTTTTGTAAGACTTTTCAGAAGTGGGACCAGCTTTACAATTTGAGCGAGATTAAATCACAATTTTGTCATTCATTTTGATAATTTGAAGAGGTAAAAGCAAGATGATTTAAAGCACTCATTTAAAATTGATTGCAAGACTTTTCAGAAGTGGGATCAGCTTTGTAATAAATGTGTGGAAAGCAAATAACACTTAAGAGGGATTAAATCATATTTGTAATTTCAACATTAAATGCTGATAATCTGAAAAAGTTCTTAAGAAAAATATTTAAAGAACTCATTAAGGATATTTTTTGTAAGACTTTTCAGAAGTGGGATCAGCTTTACAATGAGTGTGAGAACAATTTGAGCTAGATGAACTCACAATTTTGTAATTCAATATTGATATTTTTAAGAGGTATAAGCAAGGTGATTCAAAGCACTCATCAAAAATTGATTGCAAGACTTTTTAGAAGTGGGATCAGCCTTGTAATAAATGTGTGGAAAGCAAATATCAGTTTGAGAGAGATTAAATCATATTTGTAATTTCAACATTAAATGTTGATAATCTGAAGAAGTTTATAAGAAAAATATTTAAAGAACTCATTAAGGATGTTTTTTGTAAGACTTTTCAGAAGTGGGATCAGCTTTACAATAAGTGTGAGAACAATTTGAGCGAGATTAAATCACAATTTTGTAATTCAATATTAATATTTTTAAGAGGTAAAAGCAAGGTGATTCAAAGCACTCATCAAAAATTGATTGCAAGACTTTTTAGAAGTGGGATCAGCCTTATAATAAATGTGTGGAAAACAAATAAGAGTTTGAGAGGGATTAAATCATATTTGTAATTTCAACATTAAATGTTGATAATCTGAAGAAGTTTATAAGAAAAATATTTAAAGAACTCATTAAGGATGTTTTTTGTAAGACTTTTCAGAAGTGGGATCAGCTTTACAATAAGTGTGAGAACAATTTGAGCGAGATTAAATCACAATTTTGTAATTCAATATTGATATTTTTAAGAGGTAAAAGCAAGGTGATTCAAAGCACTCATCAAAAATTGATTGCAAGACTTTTTAGAAGTGGGATCAGCCTTGTAATAAATGTGTGGAAAGCAAATATCAGTTTGAGAGAGATTAAATCATATTTGTAATTTCAACATTAAATGTTGATAATCTGAAGAAGTTTATAAGAAAAATATTTAAAGAACTCATTAAGGATGTTTTTTGTAAGACTTTTCAGAAGTGGGATCAGCTTTACAATAAGTGTGAGAACAATTTGAGCGAGATTAAATCACAATTTTGTAATTCAATATTAATATTTTTAAGAGGTAAAAGCAAGGTGATTCAAAGCACTCATCAAAAATTGATTGCAAGACTTTTTAGAAGTGGGATCAGCCTTGTAATAAATGTGTGGAAAGCTAATATCAGTTTGAGAGGGATTAAATCATATTCGTAATTTCAACATTGAATGTTGATAATCTGAAGAAGTTTATAAGAAAAATATTTAAAGAACTCATTAAGGATGTTTTTTGTAAGACTTTTCAGAAGTGGGACCAGCTTTACAATGAGTGTGAGAACAATTTGAGCTAGATGAACTCACAATTTTGTAATTCAATATTGATATTTTTAAGAGGTATAAGCAAGGTGATTCAAAGCACTCATCAAAAATTGATTGCAAGACTTTTCAGAAGTGGGATCAGCCTTATAATAAATGTGTGGAAAACAAATAACAGTTTGAGAGGGATTAAATCATATTTGTAATTTCAACATTAAATGCTGATAATCTGAAAAAGTTCTTAAGAAAAATATTTAAAGAACTCATTAAGGATATTTTTTGTAAGACTTCAGAAGTGGGATCAGCTTTACAATGAATGTGAGAACAATTTGAGCTAGATGAACTCACAATTTTGTAATTCAATATTGATATTTTTAAGAGGTATAAGCAAGGTGATTCAAAGCACTCATCAAAAATTGATTGCAAGACTTTTCAGAAGTGGGATCAGCCTTATAATAAATGTGTGGAAAACAAATAACAGTTTGAGAGGGATTAAATCATATTTGTAATTTCAACATTAAATGCTGATAATCTGAAAAAGTTCTTAAGAAAAATATTTAAAGAACTCATTAAGGATATTTTTTGTAAGACTTTTCAGAAGTGGGATCAGCTTTACAATGAATGTGAGAACAATTTGAGCTAGATGAACTCACAATTTTGTAATTCAATATTGATATTTTTAAGAGGTATAAGCAAGGTGATTCAAAGCACTCATCAAAAATTGATTGCAAGACTTTTCAGAAGTGGGATCAGCCTTATAATAAATGTGTGGAAAACAAATAAGAGTTTGAGAGGGATTAAATCATATTTGTAATTTCAACATTAAATGTTGATAATCTGAAGAAGTTTATAAGAAAAATATTTAAAGAACTCATTAAGGATGTTTTTTGTAAGACTTTTCAGAAGTGGGATCAGCTTTACAATAAGTGTGAGAACAATTTGAGCGAGATTAAATCACAATTTTGTAATTCAATATTGATATTTTTAAGAGGTAAAAGCAAGGTGATTCAAAGCACTCATCAAAAATTGATTGCAAGACTTTTTAGAAGTGGGATCAGCCTTGTAATAAATGTGTGGAAAGCAAATATCAGTTTGAGAGGGATTAAATCATATTTGTAATTTCAACATTAAATGTTGATAATCTGAAGAAGTTTATAAGAAAAATATTTAAAGAACTCATTAAGGATGTTTTTTGTAAGACTTTTCAGAAGTGGGATCAGCTTTACAATAAGTGTGAGAACAATTTGAGCGAGATTAAATCACAATTTTGTAATTCAATATTAATATTTTTAAGAGGTAAAAGCAAGGTGATTCAAAGCACTCATCAAAAATTGATTGCAAGACTTTTTAGAAGTGGGATCAGCCTTGTAATAAATGTGTGGAAAGCTAATATCAGTTTGAGAGGGATTAAATCATATTCGTAATTTCAACATTGAATGTTGATAATCTGAAGAAGTTTATAAGAAAAATATTTAAAGAACTCATTAAGGATGTTTTTTGTAAGACTTTTCAGAAGTGGGACCAGCTTTACAATTTGAGCGAGATTAAATCACAATTTTGTAATTCAATATTGATATTTTTAAGAGGTAAAAGCAAGGTGATTCAAAGCACTCATCAAAAATTGATTGCAAGACTTTTTAGAAGTGGGATCAGCCTTGTAATAAATGTGTGGAAAGCAAATATCAGTTTGAGAGGGATTAAATCATATTTGTAATTTCAACATTAAATGTTGATAATCTGAAGAAGTTTATAAGAAAAATATTTAAAGAACTCATTAAGGATGTTTTTCGTAAGACTTTTCAGAAGTGGGACCATCTTTACAATTTTAGCGAGATTAAATCACAATTTTGTCATTCATTTTGATAATTTGAAGAGGTAAAAGCAAGATGATTTAAAGCACTCATTTAAAATTGATTGCAAGACTTTTCAGAAGTGGGATCAGCCTTGTAATAAATGAGTGGAAAGCAAATAAGAACAATTTGAGAGGGATTAGGTCATATTTTTAATTTCAACATTAAATTTTGATAATCTGAAGAGGTATAAAGTACTCATTAAGGATTATTTATTGTAAGATTTCAGAAGTGGGATTAGCTTTACAAATAAATGTGAGAATACTTTGAGTGATATTAAATCAAAATTTTGTCATTCATTTTTGGTAATTTGAAGAGGATAAAGAAAGGCGATTCAAAGCACTCATTTAAAATTTATGATTTTTCAGAAGTGGGATCAGCCTTGTAATAAATGTGTGGAAAGAAAATAAGAACAATTTAAGAGGGATTAAATCATATTTGTAATTTCAACATTAAATTTTAATAATTTGAAGAGGTTTAAAGTACTCATTATGGTTTATTTTTTTGTAAGACTTTAGAAGTGGGATCAGCTTTACAATAAGTGTGAGAACAATTTGAGCGAGATTAAATCACAATTTTGTAATTCAATATTGATATTTTTAAGAGGTAAAAGCAAGGTGATTCAAAGCACTCATCAAAAATTGATTGCAAGACTTTTCAGAAGTGGGATCAGCCTTGTAATAAATGTATGGAAAGCAAACAAGAACAATTTGAGAGGGATTAAATCATATTTGTAATTTCAACATTACATTTTGATCATCTGAAGAGGTTTAAACTACTCATTAAGGATTATTTTTTGTAAGACTTTTCATAAGTTGGATCAGCTTTACAATAAGTGTGAGAACACTTTGAGTGAGATTAAATCACAATTTTGTCATTCAATAATTTGAAGAGGTAAAAGCAAGGACTTTCAAAGCACGCATTAAAAATGTATTGGAAGACTTAAAAATTGGGATGAGCCTTGTAATAAATATGTGGAAAGTAAATAAGAACAATTTGAGAGAAATTAAATCATATTTGTAATTTCAACATTAAATTTTGATAACCTGAAGAGGTTCAATGTACTCATTTTAGGATTATTTTTTGTAAGACTTTTCAGAAGTTGGATCAGCTTTACAATAATTGTGAGAACACTTTGAATGGTATTAAATTGTAACAACCAGTTAGCCTAAAGACCATTTGTAACTACTGATAGGTCTTTAGCTACTGTTGTCAGTATACTATTAAGGGATAAAGGCAGAAGTTGGATCAGCTTTACAATAAATGTGAGCACAGTTTTAGTTGGATTAAATCACAATGTTGTCATTCAATTTTGATAATTTGAAGAGGTAAAAGCAAGGTGATTCAAAGCACTCATTAAAAATTGATTAAAAAACTGTTCAGAAGTGGAATCAGCCTTGTAATAAATGTGTGTAAAGCAAATAAGAACAATTTGAGAGATTAAATTATACTTGTAATTTTAACATTAAATTTTGATCATCTGAAGAGGTTTAAAGTACTCATTAAGGATTATTTTTTGTAAGAAAGACTTTTCAGAAGTTGGATCAGCTTTACAATATATATATGAGATCACTTTGAATGGGATTAAATCACAATTTTGTCATTCAATTTTAATAATTTGAAGAGGTAAAAGGAAAGTGATTCAAAGCACTCATTAAAAATTCATTACAAGACTTCAGAGGATCATCCTTGCAATAAACATGGTGACAGCAAATAAAAACAATTTGAGAGAGATTAAATCATATTTCAACATTAAATGTTAATGATCTCAAGAGGTTTATAAGAGATTTAAAGTACTTATTAAGGATTATTTTTTGTAAGACTTTTTAGAAGTTGGATCAGTTTTACAATAAGTGTCAGAACACTTTGAGTGAGATTACATCCCAATTTGGTCATTCAAATCACTCATTAAAATTATTGATTGCAAGACTTTTCAGAAATGGGATCAGCCTTGTAATAAATGTGTGGAAAGCAAATAAGAACAATTTGAGAGGGATTAAATTATTTGTAATTTCAACCTTAAATGTTGATAATCTGAAGAGGTTTATATGAAAAAGATTTAAAGTACTCATTAAGGGTGATTTTTTGTAAGACTTTCAGAAGTTGGATCAGCTTTACAATAAGTGTGAGCACAGTTTTAGTTGGATTAAATCACAATGTTGTCATTCAATTTTGATAATTTGAAGAGGTAAAAGCAAGGTGATTCAAAGCACTCATTAAAAATTGATTAAAAAACTTTTCAGAAGTGGGTTCAGCCTTGTAATAAATGTGTGGAAAGCTAATAAGAAAAATTTGAGAGAGATTAAATAATATTTGTAATTTCACATTAAATACTGATAATTTGAAGAGGTTTATAGAAAAGAAATTTAAAGTACTAATTAAGAATTATTTTTGTAAGATTTTTCAGAAGTTGGATCAGCTTTACAATAAGTGTGAGACCACTTTGAATGAGATTAAATTATAATTTTGTCATTCAATTTTGATAATTTAAAGAGGTAAAAGCAAGATGATTTAGAGCACTCATTTAAAATTGATTGCAAGACTTTTCAGAAGTGTGATTAGCCTTGAAATAAATGTGTGGAAAGCAAATAAGAACAATTTGAGAGAAATTAAATATTCATTTTAAAATTTCAACATTAAATTTTGATCATCTGAAGAGGTTTAAAGTACTCATTAAGGATTATTTTTTGTAAGAAAGACTTTTCAGAAGTTGGATCAGCTTTACAATATATATGAGATTACTTTGAATGGGATTAAATCACAATTTTGTCATTCAATTTTGATAATTTGAAGAGGTAAAAGCAAGGTGATTCAAAGCACTCATTAAAAATTGATTACAAGACTTTTCAGAAGTGAGATCAGTCTTCAAATAAATGTGTGAAAAGCAAAAGACAATTTGAGAGGGATTAAATCATATTTGTAATTTCAACATTATAATTGATAATCTGAAAAGGTTTAAAGTACTTATTAAGGATTATTTTTTGTAAGACTTTTAAGAAGCGGAAACAGCTTTATAAATAAGTGTGAGAACACTTTGAGGGAGACTAAATCACAATTTTGCCATTCAATTTTGATAATTTAAAGAGGTAAAGGCAGGGTGATTCAAAGCACTCATCAAAAATTGATTGCAAGACTTTTCAGAAGTGGGGTCAGTCTTGTAATAAATGTGTGGAAAGCAAATAAGAACAATTTGAGAGTTAAATTATATTTGTAACTTCAACATTAAATGTTGATAATCTGAAGAGGTGTATAAGAAAAAGATTTAAAGAACTCATTAAGGATGATTTTTTGTAAGATTTCAGAAGTTGGATCAGCTTTACAATAAGTGTCAGAACAATTTGAGAAGGATTAAATCATTTGTAATTTAGCCATTAAATTTTGATATTTTCAGAAGGTTATAAGGTGATTTAAAGCACTCATTAAAGATTATTTTGAAGACTTTCAGAAATGAAATCAGCTGTTCAATATAAACGTGTGGAAAACCAATCGAAAGGTTTTTTAAACATTTTGTAAATTTAGTCACTAAATTTTGATTATTTTTTCATTCTGCAAATTAGGCTTCTCTTTGAATAAATAATTTAAGAAAAATAAACATGTTCATACACAGATCTGCCTTTATTTCACAAGTTTTAATATATTATGTGAGAGAAAAAGTCAAAATTTAAATATAAGAGTCTAGATAGAGCTGAGATTTAAAATAAATGGCAGGTGAATTTAATATCAAAAAGAAGAAATGCATTATCAAGGTCTGAAACAAGTTTAACAAAGATGAATATTCCTATAAACATCCCCCTTTTAAGAAAACTGGTTTTCTTTTATGATCAGTCTAGCCAGGGACTGTACAACTGTGATAATTTTTATATAAAATTTTAAATGCAAGTGATGCTAAATCCCCTCTTATATTCATTGATTTAATTTAATCTTTCAAAGCCTTTTTGGAAAAATTTTACTAAAAATATTAATATTGTTACCAATATATTAAGAGATATGAATATATTTTTTTTTTTAGATATCCCAACATTTAATATTTATTTTAAATTAAAACTTTTCATACTTTCTGAATAATAAAATATGTTGGCATCAATTTGATATATTTTCAACATATTTTTTAAACTGTTAATAATTCAACAGCACTGGTAAAAGTAACATTAAATTTATTAGAATTTATAATAAAGACTCACCCTGCACGGAACTCATAACTTGTGTAGAACTACCATTGTTAGCCATAGATTGCAATCCAGAATTGCTAGATATGCTAGAAGGCAGACTGCCAAGGTTCATTTCCACTACTCCTCCTTTAGCAACAGATACATTGGGAGGAGACTGAAGATTGGGGCTTTTATTTCCTAAAGCATTGCTAGCAAGTACCAGGGCATTTCCAGCTAAGCCTTTATTGCTCTGAGGACAAAATGGAATATTTAGTTTTTATTTTATAGACTAAACAGAGGATGGTGTGAAATATTCAAAATGTATGGTGTACAGATGGATATTAAAACTTCTGCTTCCTTATAAGTGATAAAACTAATATCTAAAATAAGATTGTTAAAGTGTACTTAGAAAAGTTTAATTATAAGAATTAAACAGTGAATTAGTCTAAGACAGTATTTTTTAATTTAATAATTAAAAATATAAGAAAAATTCGTACAAAAATTTCAAAATAACTTCAAATTCAAAAAGAAATGTTTCTAACATTATTTAAATTATGCCAATAATGTTATGTAGGTATAGAATTACTTATAGGATAAAATTAAAATGTAATTTCATCCTTTGAAGCCTAAATCCATCTATACCATGAATATATGCACAATAAGGATTTGCACAGACATTAGTAGTTTTCAAAACACACAAGTCTTGGTAAATTTTTAAAACTAATAAACATACCTGTTGCAAGAGATGATTGAGCTGCATTTGCTGTCTAAGATTATTACTTTCTGAGTTATCAATACCATTTTGCAATCCACCTGGACCTGGCCCTTGAGCAGGAGGTTTAGCATTAGTCATGTTATCGGCTATACCCCAGGGTGAAGATGACATAAGTTCATCTGGAAGATCATTTTCCAAGTCCAACATGTCCATGTTTGATAACCCATCTAAAATATAAAAAGAAATTATACATAAAACATGATAGTCTATACATAAAAAATAATGTGGTATTCTTCTTGTGTTTTAAATGCAATAGGAATAAAATATATGGGTGAACAAGAAAAGGTAGAGCTTAGAATATTGTAATACAAGTCAAATAAGTAAACAAAAACCAACTGACTGAATGTGTCTAGAATCCAAGGGCACTATACTTAGGAGCATATGAAATAGAATCTACCTAACTTGAAGCCAAATACTACACAGAAGGGGCACAATAATTAATCTTTTAGGTCACAGTATAATAATAACAACCCATACCCAACATATCCAGTTAAAGTAACTAAAGCAGAAAGGGAGGAAAGAACTAACTTGAATGAAGAAGACATGGTTAACACTTAACATGTTAAGATACTAATAACTAATAAAAAAACAACCTGTAATCAACAATAGGAAAGTTGAAGATTTTAGATATGCATTTACTTAAATAGTCTAAAAATTGCCATTCAAAACTTTTGGAAAATAAAGAAAATAATGAGACATTTCTTTGTCAAAAACACACATTTCACAGATCCAACAAAAGAACCATTTTTAAATGATTTTAAATCAATGTAAATATACAAGAAAATTGAACTAAATAGACAAAAACAGAACTAGTAACTTTATTTCCTTCAACTTTTAAACATAATTTGGCAAATTTAGACATTTATTTACAAACCTACATGCTTCGAAAACATAAATATTAATCAATCTCAAAATTTAGATCATTTGCAAATTTGATGAAAATGAAGGGAACTGTGATAGCCATTTCTTTGTGAGTAAAACAGATTTTAGAGGTTATAATGGTCGATTTCAGTCAAATAAAAGGGTTTTTATCGGTCATTTGGATCATTTCTAATATAAAGGTAAGTACAATAAAATTTCTCAATTGTCAAACTAAGAAAGAAACGCCTCTCCCGCTTTCGTCCGTAAACATGCTGTTGTATATAAATAAACACAAGTAGAGTACCTTATTGTAAAGAAATATCTACATAAACTTACCGGATGAGTCCGATGGCCCCTGAAAAGGGTCCAATTTTTGCCTTTTGGCATTGGGAGGCCCATCTACAAGGTGATCGGCCATGGCAAAATCGGTGCACTCTGCTGTTTACCAAGCCAAAACCGAGCACTGGCCCAATGCTACGGCTGACCAAACTAGCAGCACTGTAATCCACTATTTATTGCAACTGAAGTAAGAAATACATGATTTATGGCCGAAAATATGAAAGAAACATATCCAAACAGTCGATGTACCAAGTGTTCGAGAGTCGATGCATCTCACAAGGCACATATTTATCGAATAAAAGTCAACCATCGGCCATTATGAGTATCGACTAATGCGAGTGGTCGACTATATTTCGCGACTGCCTTTCTCCATCTTCCATCGGAACTGCACAATGATCTCTAATTTAATCAAGCAAGTTTTTCACTTTTTCACAAACTGACAAGAACCGTCACCAAAATTAAAACACTATTATATTATCTAACACTGATTTTACAAAAACAGACCCTTATAATATACATAAGACAGTAGGAGAGAAGAAAATCATCTGAATTTCTACGCGACTTCAAACAGGCAAAATGGCGGCTGTTGAAACTTTTTCTACGCTTGTCAGAAATTCTCTTGTCTATTAAAACCTGTTTATCCGTTGATTGGTTGCCGAGCGCCACATGATCTAATCCTTGCTTTTCATTGGCTACATGTCTCCGGAAGAAATGTTGTGACGCTGCGTCCGTCGTCACTCGTGACGTCACATACGAATGTACGGAGAGAACCGAATGCAGATTAGAAGAACCTTGAAGAAGGCTCAACGCAACACAGTTGCCTATTTTCCAAATTATTACTGTTTTTCGGGTATTTTTCAAAACTTATTTTTTTCTTTACTATATTTCACAAATCGTTTAAACCTCTCTTCTTACTCGTAAAATTCTTCTATTTCTTAGGAAAACCTAGACGTTTCTTTGCTTTATGTCAGACAAAAATGTCTCAGACTTCATATCTTCAATTTGTAGTTGTAAACAGAATAACAATGTGAGAAGTGTAATACATATCTCTGTATCTGCTGCCCCCGGGACACTTAGGCCTCACTAAACCCGTTGTGCATCCTCCTAATTTGTTAGGCCCCCCTTAGCTTGTCAGCCAACCTTTAGATTTGATGTAGTTATAGTTATATCGACCAGTGTTAGCCAAAACTCGCCGAACACAATTCTTCTCACAAATGAAAGCGTCGGGCAATCGTAGAGGATATGCTCGATGGTCTCACCTTCTTGTTCGAACCCTTTGCAGAGTGCAGATTCTGACAACTCCACGCTATGGAGGTGCTTCCGTACTTAGCAATGACCAGTCAGAATGTCTGTGATCAGGCGCTGATTCTGTCTAGTCATAGTCAAGTAATTATTTGCTGTGCTGTTGTCATGGGTAACTTAAAAACTCCCTGGCGACTCTGCACCTTCTTGTTTTATCCCATCGTTCCCTGAATTTCACAAGGGAATGTTCTTTAATTAGGTTTGACGCTACCGATATTGGCAGTCCAATGAAAGGCCAGGTTCAAAAAGTGTTTGGTTGGTTGCCTTCTTGGTAATCTTGCTTAGTGACCTTTAATCCATCTTATAAGGTAACCCACATTGCTGATGAATACTTTGGCCAAAGATTCGTGGCATTCTAGTACTATCCCCGAGTAAAATCGGGATCTGTCCAGGGTAAGTAGTGCTTGTCTGCTATTTGTATAGATGAGCATGTTCCTTCCAGTGATATTATTTTTGGTATGAGCTTTAAAATACACTCTGGCACTGTTTCTCACTGCCTATTTTATATTTAGGATTAAATATCTGGAGTATATTCCACATTTGTTTTGGTTTAGAAACGTCGATGTAGATATGAATCGTACTTGCCACTTCCGGCTCTTCTATTTGTTCCGTTGTAACTTTATATGGCATATGGAAGATATATCTCGGTGAGATGGGGTCCATGTTCGCTTAAAGCATTGGAAGCCGATCGAGTGCATACCGCAAAAAGCGATGTCTGGCCTTACCAGATCTTACATTAGGTTCTATTCCAACCATGAGGACGAAGAGGCGTGTCATTGGCATCAGAGCAACCCCCTTGATGTAAATATCAAGGGGGTAAGACTTGAGACTAAGAATTACTTCTATGACTCTGGTTGGTGTGGTTTCCATGACTCCTGTTTCGTCGAGACATGCTGTTCTTTGAATTTAGTCCAGTTTGTGGATAGCTGTCAATTGTTGGCTTTTGGTACCAAGACAAATGCACCGTATGTTAGCATATATAGGTCTTATGATGGCCATATAATTACATGTGACGACTCTAGGGGGAGACCATAGGCGCGCCTCACGGTTCATCGGCATTGTTCATAAGCAATATGTATGCCTTTTTGACTCTGTTTTCTGGGAGAAATGAAATTAAGTAACCAAGAGGTTATACAGAAAGGCTAAGTTTGGAATGAATTTGAGAAGCCTTTATTACTATATAGAATGATCAATCTCACCAAAAAGTGGGTAGAGTAGGATCTGTAGGAAAGGAAGAATGTACAACTAGAGTCAGAATGAGAATACCAAATTAACGCTTTCGTTAGTAATTTACATCTATGAAATTAAACAGACAGCAGTCTCAATCCCTAGAACCATGAGATTACTATCAATTAAATTTGATCAACAACATTATTCTAAAGGAGGCTCTCTTCACTTGCACCCTTATGACACGTCAATAGCTTTGAAAGTTACTCACATTGTTCACATAGTTGCTTCCACACATTTGTAGAAGATTGACATACCTCCTTAATATATGTAAATCTGCTTTATGTTTGAAATGTTATACGTTTGAAATATTTCTGAAATAATGTGTGCTGTTTGGGATACGAGCCACACTGGTTTGAAATCTAGCTGTTTTGAAACGGTGAGATCAAATCGTGAAATGACGTAATGGTATCTTCTCTATTTGTATTCGCTTAACCTTATAATAGTAGGCTGGAAGGTGCACAATGGGTCTAAGTGCTGTGGAGCTGAGATCGTGTTACCGATCCACAAAATAAATCAGCGTTAAAAAGATTTTTCTTAAAGGAAAACTAAGAAGAGTCAAACGTGTAAATAGCATATCATGTTTTCTCTTTCTATTTTACGTTACTTCAAAAATCAGAAATTAAAAAATTTATTTAAAATTTTGACAGGGAAATCGTCATACTGCAGCACTGACAACGCTGCAAAGCAGAAACAAAACATGAAGACCGTAGATTTAGAAGATGGTGTATAAACAAAACGAAACCGAAAAATATTCGCTTTTCTCTCAATTTTAGGTAGAAATTTCGAAGATATTATTGTATTTATGAAATAATATACAAAATAACTTTACGTCGGACATAAATTTTGCAATAATTTAAAATACGATTGTGAAATTAGAGATTTTATAACAATAAAAAACGAAATGTAGGTCTCGCATTGTATGTACTCATTTTAAAATTAAGTGTATTTTGAACTAAATATAAAGAAAATAACGTTTAAACCCTGGTGTAAACAGAAAAAATAAAAATTTGATGCGGCATTTTGTGAACAATGGCGCTATTGTTTTTATTAATATTAATTAAAAGTGCCGGCATATTTTGTTCAAAATCTTTGCTTATCTAGAGTTTCGTTACAAGAACCGCGGTCATCTTATTTTCTGTTGTCCTAGTTTCAGTTTATTTACTTTCACTCATTTTTATTTTCGGCTCTAGATATTGAAAAATCGTTTTTTACTTTGTAAATAAATGTACTTTTTTTTTCGTAATAACTAAAAATTTTACGGTAAAATATGCAGTAAAATATAGAATATATAGGAATAACTAGTTAAAGTAGGTAATTTTTGACCACATCTGCCCAGGGCAGATTACATTCCTACTTATAAAAAACAAAGAAATTACCTGCTCATTTTTATTCCATAAATAAGTTTATAAAGTTTCAAATGAACGATATTCCAAACTAAAATCGTCCAAGGTGTAGGTTGTATGAACCTTGTGTGTACACTAGGGCTATTTCGAATCCTGAATAAATTTAATGTGAAAAGCTTTTTACAGAATTCAAATTGATGTAAGCACCACAAGGTGACCAAACCAGTGGGCCATAATCTAATTCTAAATTAAATAACGATTTGTACAATGGCTATAACTGTAATTTGCAGTTTTCCACAATGAAAAAAGTCTAGCAGGTTTAGATCAAGACAACAAAGGGACAATCCATAAAAGTTGAACAGTTGACGAAACCAAAATGGTTTCATAGTCATTCATCACATTCAAAATTGACAACTTATTTTCAAAAATGCTACTGCATTTAACTGAGGCTCAAAAGTTGAGGGCTATAGCAAAGATTGTGAAGACCTTTCAGACAAGGTTTAGGGAAGGTCTCTAATGAAAATGAAGACAATGCTCACATAGAATATATCCATCAAAAGCTTTGTGGAACTGGTGTGAAAGCCCAGTAGAAACATTAGTTCCAGGATCTCGCATAATAGCTCAAATATGTTTAAAACAAGCACTGCTGCCCAAAAAGGTTTTTAACTGCAGAAAATAAGCGTAGAAGAGTCCAGTTTGAACATGATTTTTAATTCACAATGAGGAATTTTGATTATGAGAAAGCTTTTGAAGGCTGCTTAGCAAATTTGAACACTTTGGAAAAAAACAGTCTATTATGGATTAAGAGTTAGTTATTTAACCAGCAGTTCTGCATAATAATAAACAACCATCTAGTAGAAAGTTGAGTACCTACCACAAGGTTCAGTCTTGGGTCCCCTGTTATTTATTTTATACACTATACAGAATCATAGAGTCTGAAGCTGACTTTTATGCAGACAATTGAAAGATCTACTGCAAGCCACCCCAATCATAGTACACTATAAATACAAACACAATAACTTCAGTTGAAACAAAAGGATCTTGGTGTAATCATATCTAGAGACTTAAAATGGGAAACCCACATTGTTAATATAGCAAAGAAAATCAACAGAGCTTTAAAGATCATTCTGAAGACATGATCCTGAAACTGTTCACAACTCACATAAGACCAAAGATAGAATTTGCATAGACCATTTGGCATCCAATCTTTGTAAAAGATATTGAACTGCTGGAAAGAGTATAAAGGAGATTCACTAAAATACCACAAACCCTACAAAACAATGAGTATTAAGATTGGTTAGCCAAATTACAACTTTCAAATTTAAAGGATAGAAGAACTAGAGGACACTTGGTAGTAACTTACAAGTGGACCTGCAGATTTACACCTGTGATAACATCTTCCAGGCCAGCACATCAAGAACCTTGAGAGGTCAGTTGAAGAAATTAATGGAAAGTGTAATAAACTACAAAAAAAAAATTCATTACAAACAGAACTGAATATCTGTAGAATGATTTTCAGGATCATAAAATCTAATGTCCAGAACATAAACCAGTTCAAGGAGAGAGTGGATAAGGAACTGAAAGAAGGGAAAAATAATTTTATTCATTATAGTTTATAGTATATTAAATTTTAACTTTCATGTAGTAATTAAACTAAAATTGCTGGATTTGCTTTTTTTATTCGATACCTTTTAATACATCCAATCTTTGTTTGCTCCACTGATATGTTTTGCTTGATAAATCCTTTATTTTTAAGTAAGCATAATTAAATATAAATTACAAAAATTATTCATTTAAAAAGTCATCCAACCATTGTTCTAAATCTTCATTTTTCTTGTCTGGATGTTTCTTAGTTTCAACTTTTTTTTCTACTTGAATAGTCAAAATTTCTTCTGATTCATCATCATCAGTCTTTTCACTAGAACCACTGGATGCATATTCTTTAAAAGTGTTATGTTCATTGTATTTTTTCAAATTTTCATCTGCATCTCGTTTCATATACTCTATTTGATTGTCCTGAAATTTAAACCAATTTTTTAACCAATTTTAATCTATATAATTGGCAAACTATATAGGAATCATTTATTAATTTATAATCTTAAAAAGAGCCAATTCTATATAATAAATTGTTTGAATTAAATAAATAAGGCTTTGCTGTTTGGAGCTGTCTAAATTTGGACATATTATAATGCTACAAACAACTCACAAGAAAATACTTATTATCAATATCCAATCTTTCATAAAATGGTATAGTCAACAAACTCTCTTCAAGTTTTTCAAGATCAAGACTAAACAGTCCACTTAGAGAAGTAGATTCGGTTTCACTAGCCAATAATTTGTCACTTTTGCTTTGAAAATGTCTACCCTTAGTAATTGGTGCATTTGCAAGTATAGCAAAATCGTCTGTACCCAAAGTGTCTTCGGTATCGCTGTTTTCGCTTTCATATCTGTCCCAATTTGAGCCTAAATTCGGTTGTGATTTTTGTGGAACATGTTTTGGATTTTTGGTTGTGTTGCCTTTATATTTTCTTTTGTCCTTTAGGTGCTTTATTCCCCTAAAATAATATAACGAAATTATTAAATTTAGTAAGTATAAATATATAGAAAAATTAATGGAAGCTTATTATTAGTTGAATTAAAAGTTATGTTTGGATTTGTAGGTAAGTATAGTCTGATTTTTCCAAAAAAATTAGATTTGTTGATTGGTTACATACCTAGACTTATCTTTTTCCATTATGAATTATAAACCTATTATTCCATGAATTCCTTCGTTTTTTTTCATAATTCTAGGTGATTTTAAATATTAATGTTTATGTTCATTTGCTTTTCAAAAAGAAAATAAATACGGAAAAGTGAGGTTAACTTACTTCACATAAACAAATCCGCGACATTTTATGATTATTGAAATATGATTGGTTGTCCTATATTCCATCTTTGTTTAGTTGCTTAAAGGACCAATAATAATTCGCCAACTGTAAAATAGGAGGAGAACGAAAAGCTTCTGTAGCGTTGCCTTTATTCAGTATATTCTCATTATAGTACAGGAAATAATATTACTTTTTTGAAAGTGATAGCAAAGGAAATGAAGTTAAATATTTTTCAAAAATATTCGAAAATTATTATATATTGATAAAACTATACTAATGAAAAATTAACATTCATGTAAAAAAGTGATTTGAGGAAAGTGTTGCTTAAAAATGTGATATTTTCCCTGTATAATTTCTATTATTATAAGGTTATTATTAGTCTGCCCGGAAATATTGAGAGCTTCTGTATCTGTAAGGTGGGTTGCGCCCATTGTGCATATAAAATCTGCCTCTCAACTTGTCTAAACCTGCTGGTTGTCGCTGAGAGGTGTCTAGAGACCGCCATCTTTCCGGCTCATAAAAGTCATGCAGATTATAAACTTGTTAAAAACCTATTGGTTGACGGTGAGGAGTCTCTACTGTCAGCCATCTTCTCAAAGTTCTGCAGGTTATTAACGCATTAAAAGCTATAGAGTGTCCAGCCTCTCAGGTCAACGTCCTGCAGTATAGGTTAAATAAGGTCGCCAAGAGGTGTCCTTAGATACTCCATGTTCAGAAAGTGGCCATTTTGTGGGATTCTATTACCCCGATAGTAAATGCCAGGGTGAAACCATACTGTCCGCAACTTCCACATGGTATTATCAAGAGCTTGTTACAATTGTTATAACTGAACGTATCACAGGAGTTTAGACACTAATACACTAAATAACATCACTTTCATATCTTTTTTTTTAATTGCAGATAAGGATAAATAAAAAAGCACCTATTAAAAAAAAATAATTTATATTAAAATACGAGTATCAAAATATGAGACCCATAACAATGTACAGTTAATACTAACATACAAAAATAATACATACAATGACACGATAACATCTATTATCTATTCCACTCGAGGAGTTTGTCTAAAATGACATGAGAATCGTCAGATCCGTACATTTCAATCTTCTTATCAAATTCTACAAGATTTTCTGGAGTATTCAAAACAGTATCTACAAAAGCTAGGAACATGTAAGTTTCTGTGAACATTTTCAAAAATCGCTTGATGCCTTTCGTTTTTCCACTTTTTAAGAATTCTTCTTTCTGAAAATAAAATTTACAATTAGTTTTAGAAATTTTAATACATTAGATTAACTTGCTTATTATAAACAAAAAAAAAATATTCAACTTGAACTAAATAATGTCTTTTATGTTTCATACAATGTATCCTCGCGCTTATGAACTCATGGGAAAATATTTATCACTACGAACTAAAAGGTATTTATATCTTTCTTCAAGATTAGATATAGCACCATCATCTAGTAATAGTAATGTTGAAAAAAAGTACCAAAAATTACCTAAATATTGTATAAAGTTCTTTAACAAATATTGATTAAATTGTTAATCTATTAGTTGATGAAATTTATGTAATAGGTTACATGGAAAAAACATAATTGGTGTAGCTACAAATATATTAGCATTCATGATATGCTCTGCATTTAGACATTTTTGTAAAATCGTTAAGTTGCTACCTGTTCACAACACAAAAGGGCTTCAAATGACACCAACAGCCAACGATATAATAAATTTTGTCCAAAGATGTGGGGTTTAAAGTTTTAGACGTTATAACTGACAACCATAGAATTAATCCTTCGATGTCCCATGCTTTAACTAACTTCTTTTGAAAATCTAAGTTATCTAAGTGAAACATTTTTTACATGTTATGGTTTTGTTCATATTCAAAAATATAAGAAATACCTAACTGGCGTAATTTAAAAAAAAAAATGGATAAAATATTACCATTATTAAAAATGTAGACCCAATTATTCAGATATTCTTTAAATTAATTAACAATCCGAACCTGTCAAAATTGGAGATAAAATAGGACCAGTAAATCATATTATACCAGAACCAATATGTCCACAAATTTAAAAAATATAATTTAATCAGTTAATGCTTATTTTTACCTGAAATACACCATCCTTAAAATAGTTCTTGTAGTCCTTAAAACAAATAACGAAAACCTGAAGATAAGCATCACTCAGATATACAGAATGGACATATTCCATTGAAGTTGCAGCTCTATTCGCTAGCGCCAGACTTCGTCTCCAAACTTTTTGCATGCTGCCTGCCAAAATTTTATTTTCATCGCCTTCTTCCTTTTTGACAGTCCCGCTGTCCAAGTCCACCACTATTCCCTAGAAAAAAGCAAAAAATCTTTTATAGATATAACTTGAACTGATCTAGTTACTTCAGTTATTTGAATGGTATTTTAAAGCTTACATTTTCAATTTGATATCCTTCCAAAACATCGTTAGACATTACTCCGCAAATTACAGGCGTAGGACTCTCTACAATGTCCCAGAGTGCTTCCGGAAGGATCGGTATACATGTATGGTGCCACGTAAACGGATAGAGTATACTTTGAAGAGAATCAATACAGGATGAAAGTTTGCTAAAAGTATAGAAATAATCACATTAAAGGCACTTTAAAAATCTAGAGTTTAAGATTGGCCAAATAAAGGTTATTTTTTCTTACCTTATCATAGAACTGATAAGAATTACTTTCCTTTCTAATAACATAGAAGAAAAAATTTTTAATAATATGTCATGGGGTAGTTGATGCAATTTTTTGAGATCGGAGTCTTCGAATCTGGTATCAGGATGTAACGTTAGAACCAATTCGTTTTTCTCTTTAGTTTGTACAATGTAACTGGGGATGGAACAACTTTTCTTGATGTCCTTTTCGTTGACGAAAATGTGCTCTGCGTTGGCATCATTTTTATTACTACCTGTTGGACAAAAATTAAGTTTTATCAAAAGAAGAAAGACCTACATACATACTGTGTAGTGTAAATGGTCAAATAACATTTTGTTGAGAGGTAATAATATATTTGCAGTAAAAGAGGTATTAAGGTCTACTACAATTCTTCTTCAAGATGAATCTCTACTGTATATCATGGTGAACACGATACTAGTGTAGTAAAGGAATAGTGCCGTGAATTCAAGTGTAGGGCTTTATGTGAAAACTCTCATAGTGGAGGACCGCCAATCAAGCTTTAATCCATTCTGCAGTCAGCTAGATTAGATTTTGGGCATAGTCGGAGCATCCAGTGGATGTAATTTGTAGGTGGGCGATAATTAGAGTCGAAAATTCTTTTAATAAGAATTGTTTGTGATTTATTCTCTATAATTTTTATCATAGATATGATTTCTCTAAAATAAACCATAATGGAGAAATTTGAAGAAGAGTGCAAAATTTGAATGTTTCAATTTTCGTAGACAATAAAGAATAAATGTTTTTAATTCATAACAATGTCTCAAAAATGTAAAAACCATGTACCTATATGTACAGTCAGAAATCTTAACAATTATAAAAAAAATAGTGGATTGTATTTACCTATAAATTCACCGGTCCTATTCACGTGCACATAAGAGAGCAATTCGACGGATTCTTCCGAGTTTTCTTTAATACTATTTTCTTTATCAGTCTTATAAATATTTGGCTCGATATTGGTCAGATTGATCCTTATCGAATCACCGGGTTTTGGAAATTTTTGATTGTAGAACTGGCTGATGAGTTCGTCGCGATACTTGTTGGGAATCCCGTGTCTGGACTCCAATTCCACCAAAATTTTCTTATAAAATCTATAAATGAACACAACATTAATGGAAATAAAGTTGTATGATTAAATATTAAATAAAGGTAAATGCCATACAATTTAGAATTATATTTGTGAAAATATCTTACCTGGGTGCTCTGTATTTACTCAAAATACAATAAGCCAATGGCAAACAAGACGTAGATCCTTCTGGAAGCACTCGTCTGCAATATCCGAACGTACGTTCCCCTTTGTCGTTTGTTATTAACAAAGAGTAATTTTGCGTCTGGTTTGACATATCCAAATTTTGGTTGTCACTTTCGGGGAAGCACAGGTTCTCCATGCTTTGAGGAATTACAGCCTGAAAATTAATACAACAATAAATAGTCAGTATAAGTGTAATATATTATTGAATTAATGAAACATTGGATTTAAAAAGAAACTGAATGACGTATACCAGTTCTAGTCATAAGGGAGCAACATTTCTTAACTAGGTATCAGAAGTTCAACAATGCCCATAGCCCACTTGATCTGGTAAAACAAAAATCTAACGAAAATAGCAGTTTTTAGTAACTTTTTTGACAACTTTAAATACTCACATTTGAAGGATACTTAAATTTTATCCTAGCCATATCTTTGACCTTCTCGATAATCATACAACAATAAAACAATTTTTCCTTGGAAAGCTTCACCGAACAATATTTGGGCATCGTCAACCTGTAGGTCTCGAATTTTTTGATAATATCCGTTACTTTGCTCTCATTTTCCGAATCGGTATCTTTGATGGCACCGATGTTGCTGAAACTTGTATCGAGCGTTTGCTGCAACGAGTTTTTCAAGTCCTCCACCCTGTTCACGTTGGTATCGCTGGTTTTGCGAGAAGGCGAGTTTCTGGACTCGTAGCATTCTATGATGGTCCGGATTTTTGGGGTTTCCTCTGTGGGAGAAGCAGTGTCTGCGTCGGAGGTGAATGAGGAAAGGGAGGAGTTTTCGGCAGACATCTGAAACAAAATATAGGACCATGTGAATATTTTTTAAAGATCATGTATGCACAAGTTTAAACTTGTTATTACTTCCTACCCTTTGGTAGTGGGCACCGGCATTTTTAATCAGTACAGATTTCTAATTTTCTAAGAAATCCTTCAATTATTCATTTGATTAGGAATTTAGACTAAAATCGGTATTAAAATAAAATTGTTATTCGCGCTCATAAGCAGTCAATAGAATAAATACAAATTGTTGCAATGGTGCCAAAAAAATTCAGTTAAAAATAATATATGTTAGGTTTTACGTTTTTTAACTCGGCAATAAAATATTGCATAATACTTTTATATAAAACTCCACCATGTTAAATAATAAGATAATAAATGTAATGAGAGTATTGCACGATACTTCCAACAAAAAAGTATTATATAGTGTTTTGTAGTATTTCATAATAATAAAAACCTTTTTACTTTCCTGTCTATATTCGATAAATTTGACAAAAAGTAAAAAAATCAAATTTTTTTAAAAATTGTTCAACTGAAACGGTGTGAAAGCCTCGTCTCACAATTTTTTTTGAAAATATTTTTATTTTATTTAAATGACTACCTCATAAGCCATTAAAAGAATAAATCTGGCAGGTTTGTCTCGAAAGCGGCGACTACCACAGCGACGTACATGTAAACCACGTATCCATTACATTGTAGGTGACATGATAGCAGTTTTATCTGTCTTCTGTAAAATTTCCTATTTTGGACGTACGAGGGTTTTACTCTACGCCATCGAGCAATTATTTGTTACGTTATTCCCTATATTATTGTCCCATACGTAATTTCTCTAAAATTGACCATCTTCGAGATATTTAAGAAAAAGTGCAAATTTATAATTTTCAAGATAACTGATAAACGAATAGAGAAAAACAAATTTTAAATTTAAGTTTTAATCCATTCTGCGTGAATATATTAAATTTTGTACATAGTCGGAACATTTGGGAGGGGTACTTTAGAGGTCGTTTTTCTACTTTATGGAATATATCTGATATTTATGCTTAAAAAAAATTTACAAATACAAATTGCTTGTAATGTTATTTTTATCTATAAGTTTTGTTCTATACATAATTTTCCTAAAATGGTCTGTACTCGAGAATTTTGACAAAAAGTGCAATTTTTAAGAAAAATGTTCAAATAAAAGTTATTTGCGATATCATTCTCAAAAATTTTTATTTTGTACATGATATCTCTAAAATGAATCGTAATGGAAAAAATTCAGGAAAAGTGTAAAATTTTAATTTTTCATTGGAAAATTTCGGTATCCTTTAAACCAGCGTTACTCAAAGTGCGGTCCGGCAGCCCTGGGGCTTCGCGAAGAAAATAAGTCAAAAAAAAGTACTACAAGAGTGAGGGACTTGGCTGGAGGACTTTTTTTAGAAATATGTTCAAATATTCCGCTTTTCAAAAAGGTTCCATTGTCAAAAAACTTTTAGAACCACTGCTCTAAACATTTACATGGGTGATACAATAGGTTGTACAATTTCTGTAATAACTAGACAGGAAAGTCATGTGTTGGACACACCAGATTTTTTTAATATAAAAAGTGGATCATTATTAAACAATTACTTGCTTTAATACTGTTATTGACAAATTTCTACGAAAGTTAAAATAATTAGCAATACTTCACATCATTGTTCAACATTACTCATCGATGTAACAAAGAGTTTCTTGTGTAAAACATATTTAAATAGATCTCAACAAACGAATGCAAATGGGATTGATTTTCTGCTTCTAAGAAAAAAATAACAAATAGCAATTTCCATAAAAAAATATGGCTCGCCCATCTATCAATCGTCAATATTTAAACACTATATAATTATCATTTTTTTAATAAAATATATTTTTTGTTAATTTAGCACAGACATATTATCTATAGTTTAAAAAATATCAATTTTATAAGAACTAAATCTCATGCTGATACCATTTAATATTATTTAATAGTAGGATATAAAAAATAATTAAAGGATTATTGATTAGATATTACATAACGCATTTAAGTTATAAGAAAAAAATAAACTGCGCATTTTAACTCGATTATTTTTTTAATAAGTATAATTTCCTTTTTAGAATAAAAAAAAATCATATGAAGTGATAAACACTGAAGCGACCCTGAGGCGATATATCAAACCGCAAAATTCTTTATTTATTGTCTCACGACCATTTCCATTTAATCCAATCAAGATCCAAGACAAACAATTTTCTGTAAATATTACGTATTTTCTAAAACTCTAATTATAACTTGGCAATTTGGAAACGTCCATATTTCAACATCATTAGTTGGAAAATCGGTATTGTATGCTGTATTTTACTTATACGCGGAGATTGAGTTAATAATGTATGTATTCTACATACATATATACAATTTTATACAAATTTTTATCGACCTTCGATCAATTTCATTTCATCCTACGCAGGAAATTCCTTCCTGGCTATGGTATTTCATTATAATTATAATTACATTTGCGATGCTCGGTCGGATTTGAAATTGCGAAAAAGTTTAAAAATAATGTCGGGTATAACATATTTGTTTATTATTTTACTATATTGTTTCTGATATAAAAACTATATCTTCATTAAGTGCGTGAAATAAGCTGCTAAATAAGAATTGTATAAAAAAATAGTTCCGTTTTTTTATCTTGTGCACTTTTGTCCCACCAAAGTTTCATTTATCCACTTTTCCTTATTTAGATTAATTTAAAAATAAAAATATGGACAACAAATTGAATAAACCTTGTGTAGATACATATAGTCCAGAGTAGAAAGGAATGCAGTAATTTAATTTGCAGAACGTAGTACAGGTTCAAAAGGCAGATATTTTATTTATACCTCATCCTACAATGCTTATTTGTAGTTAAAATGAAAATTTTATTACATCTAATCGGCCTAATAAAAGTTTTCGGTTAGATTTAATCATGTTTCTGTAACCTACCGCACCCAGGTACCTTAATAATTTATTAATTTCATTTATTAAATATAATAGTTCATTCTTATTACATTCAAAATCCTTCATTTAACGAAAAATCTCCCAGATAATTAAATCTTATTGACGACATCTAATAAATAATATCTATAACCACGTCCATAAAATATCCAAATTTTGTGCACGTGTCTGGGAACCTAAACCATAAAACATATTTCTTTTCACGAAGTAATCATCATTAAAACACTTAACTCGCTTATCTTTCTAGTTTCTTTGTTAAGACCGATTTCGACAATATTTCGATATACAAAGCTCTAAAGGCACATTATAAATAAGCCACCCCCTTTGCACCCACATTCCTATTTTCGATGGGAACTAAAATCTGTATCTAGTTATATCGTATGTATCTTTCCTAAAACGCTCTTCCTCAACGACGTCTATCCTACAATACCTCCTATCCCCGAAGGTGTCAACGTCTCGACGCCCTAGATCCTGCCGGCCTACTCTCTACGTCTCGAACGCTGTCACATTCCACACCATCTAAGTATTTCCTACCTTACATTCATTCCAACGCCCAACGTCCCATCGCTTTACTTCTCGACGCTTGGCGTCCCTAAATATTTCCTTCATAATATCCTTGTTGACACCCTTCGTCACGTCCCGCACCACCTAAATATTTCCACCGTATATCTGTCTCAATGCAGTACCGTATTAAATACCCTCCTCTCCATCACGACGCTAGGCGCCTCGACGCAACACGACGCTCAACGTTGTGACGTACCTAAATCGACGCTGTCGCAACACTAGCTGAAATTAGTACATAATCTAATGTCTGTATTTTCAATGGTAAGTCAAAAGATTTATTTAACTTTCTTTGAAATACCACCGGGGTTTCATTTAGAAAAGAATAAATAAACAGGTTATTTATTTATGGACCGATTATAATTTTTTGAAAAGTAATTGGGTTGGTGATGGAGAATGTGCTATATAAAATTTTAAGCATTTGGAGGTGCTAATTTAACAGACCTATCTTCTTTGCACTAAAAGATTTTATATAAACAACAACTTTAATACTCTAATCGTTGTAAATACATTTTTGAAATTCAAAAGTATTAATTATTATGATCGAAACAAGATAAAAGTTCAAAGAAATCTTGATTTTTTTTATAAATAATTACTTGAAGTAAAAGTTGCTTTTCTCTTACACATTATTAATATTTGCAATTATATTAATTGCATTTAAACTATCTATTGTATAGAGTGTACATATAGTATATTTAATGTGTGAAGAGTACGACATACATTGCCAGAAATAACATAGTTATATATTTTTTTATTGAATGTATTAGAGTAAACATATTTAAATAAATTGAATCGTTCATTAACTATTTCTGAATATTTAATTAAATAAATACTATACAGTGAAGATCACCAGGAACTGCATCGATCATCTCAGAAACTGGATATAGGAAAAAATTGAAAATTTGGAAATCCAATACAAAGTAAGAACTTTCTTATAGGAAAAATTGATAATTATATTAAGGCTTCCAAACGTTATTTTTGATAGAAAAACTTAAAATATTGTCATAAACTGTTAGACTTAGATATACATAAAATGTGCCTATATAGAATCTTGAGTAGAATCCAAAAATAATAATATACCCAATAGATGAAAATATTTTAGCTGAATAGATATCTAGCAAGTTCTAAATCCAGTTTCTGATACATCGAACGCAGCAGTTCCTGGTGGTCCATCCGGTATACATAAGGCATACCGTGTACTACACTCAGGGCCGACTAAAGAGGGGGCAGCCGGAACTAATTCCCGAGGCCCGGACTTAAATGGAGGCCCGGATTTTTTTTGTAAAATTTCTGATCACTGCGTACCCATAGTCTGGTTCACAAGTAGGTACTATTTCGTCATAAATCTAGGCTGGACAACCGAAACTTATGATTTTGGTATCATTCCATTCGAAATAGCATCTAAAACAAATCATCAAGTGGACAATATGGGCCGACAAAAATTGCAAAAGTTATAAACAATAACGTA